CATATCTAGATCACCTTCTGGGAGCTTTGATGACCTCCTTTCACATCTTCATCACTGCCGGTTAACTTTGTAAAATGTTTGAGAGATTATGCACTTGACAGGAGATGCATAAATACAGTTTCTTTAATATACAGACTGGTCAGTATAATTTGTGATATAGCTCTTTTCCGTCTTTTAGACCAGTAAAATCGGAACCATTACATGATTAAAATAGGAAATTCCTTCCACTTCAGTTTTCTTATAAAGGAATCGATGCTATCAACATCAGCAAATATCTTCATCACAAAGAGGTAACATCTAAAATTCCACTTTATTTTCAAAATCAGTCTGTTCCTTTTGTATCCTACCGTTACACTAAAACCATTGCACCTAAAGTATTTAACTATAAGTAAGCATTGCAGGGCCTTGATTAAAAAGAATACTTAACAGATCTCTGGCATGTGACTGTTCCCACTCACCTTATATTTACAGCCTCTCTGGCCATGTCATTACTGGAGATCTAAACATAATTCAACATGAACATCTCCGAAAGGTGATATCCCATGGTCCTTAGTTCAGAGAATGCCATCACATCAATTGGAGCCATGGCTTCAAAATAGTTATGGGTTCCATTGAGGAGTACGCCAGAGCATGGGCTAAATGAGAAGAAATTCAACTGGACACTTTGTCAGAATGGGTTATAGCTATCACGTCTGAATCCAAAACTGTGTAAATGATTGACCAAAGTCCGTATTCAGAGACAAAACAGCTGTGAAATGTCTATCATTTCTTCAAGAAAATTATGTTGTTGTCCTGCGAACAAAGCTTCAAATAATATTGTTTTTGAATGTAAATCGTACTACAACGAGTGTCTTGTAAAAGAATAAGGAATAAATGTACACTCAGGTAATCCCACATACAAAAACATATCATTTGACAAGGATGAGATTTTGGCGAATCATAAGTCCTTTATGGCTTCAATGAACATTACATTGAACAGAAAATCTAAGGACTTACCTTGTTTGTATTGGATACTTAAGCTTCACAAAATTCCGTACAAACAACGGTACATTGCCGGCTCATCTACTGTTCTACAAAGGAATTGTCTATTAGATTGACAAAAATTATGTCCTTAGTGAAAGAAGATCTTCAGAAATACTGTGAAACTGTTTACTCGCGTAGTGTTATTAACCATATAAGGATACCTTTGATTTTTCAACCCTTTATATCACCATTCCCCATGTTAAATTGAAAATTCGTCTAAAAGAAATAATCCATAATGCTTTTCAATATAAAAATGGTAGCATACGCTATAATTTATTGCTTTGAGATACCATACGACATATTTTGTTATTAGTAAACAAAAAGGTAAAACATGCTACACCGAGGAAGAAGTGATCAGTATGCTGGAGTTTCTTATTGACAACATATTTGTTGAATTTGGTAGACTTTTTCAACAAATTGTCGGCAATCCTATGGGAACGAACAGTGCGCCTCTCCTTGCTGAACACTTCTTATTTTCATATGAGTCGGAGTTACTTCAGACACTTGTCAAAAACAAGAAGACTAAAGAAGCCAGATCATTTAATTTCACATTCAGATATATTGATGATGTTCTTTCCATTATTAATCCAAATTTTTCTGATTGGGTTCCATTTATGTATCCTCAAGAACTAGAAATTTAAGAAACAACAGACACGGCTGCCTCCACCACATTTCTAGATTTATACATCGAATTTGACATAAGCGGTCATTTCAGTACCAGAATCTATGACAAAAGAGACGATTTTAATTTTAAAATTATAAATTTCCCCGACCTTAGCAGCAATATACCAACTTCACCTGCATATGGGATATACATTTCCCAACTCATTCGGTATTCAAGAGCTTGCAGCTGCTACTCAGACTTTATAAAACGGCACCAGTGTCTGTTCAGAAAGTTGATGAACCAGGGTTATGTCAAAGAACGTCTCGTCCTTTTTCTAGAAAAGTTCATCGGAAGATACCAAGACCTTGTCAATAAATATTCCGTATCAACTTCACAAATAATACATGATGGTCTTGAAGTATAGAATCCAGGTACTGACGTTGTGTATCATCTTAATTACGTGTTATAGTGTTCTTTTTTTTTGTCTTTGTATATTTTCAATCTTTACTGTTTAGTCCATTTTTGGTAATATCCGTTCGGCGTGGCTCGGTATTTATACATCCCGCTATTGTGTTATTGTGCGATGGTAATTTTTTGTATTCTTGCCTTTCATTTTATCAATTTTGCTTATGTGCTTTGTCTATAGAATGTCTACATGCCATTTTGTTTTTCTTTGTTGACGCAGTTGTTTATAGTGATTAAGATTATAATACAATGTTGACTGCTGTATCCCAATTTTTGACATTTTTACCTATTATGTCTGTTTGTTTTGTTCAGACATTGTTGTCAATATAATGGAATTTTATGCGACTGTCATACAAGTGAGAAGTTTAGCTAGCTATAAAACCGGGTTTAATCCAACACTTTCTACATAAGGAAATGTATGTACCAAGACAGGAATATGACAGTTGTTTTCCATTCGTTTGATGTGTTTGAGCTTTTGATTTTGCAATTGTTGAGGGACTTTCCCTTTTGAAATTTCTTTGGAGATCGGTATTTTGTTATTTTACTTTTCCCTAGGGTAACGCAAACAACATTGCACCCATGTGTGCGTTTACCAGACCTACATGTTTAGTGTTTCCTATCATGATTTCCTTGATAGAGGATACTGCTCACAAGGAAGCTATTAAGCCAAGAGTTCCAAATGGTGAAGTTGAAATCATCCCTTCGTAAATTTTACGGACGCCATCACGAGTTGGTTGACCGTTATGGAATAACCGTTTCACAGATGATATGGGATATGTTCCTTATGTCGTAACTACAATACCCTTCCCTTTTCACGAATGTGACTTATTGAATTAGACGTTTAACCGGATTTGTAATAACATAAGCAACACGACGGGTGCCACATGTGGAGCAGGATCTGCTTACCCTTCCGGAGCACCTGAGATCACCCCCAGTTTTTGGTGGGGTTCGTGTTGCTTGATCTTTAGTTTTCTATGTTGTGTCATCTGTACTATTATTTGTCTGTCTGTCTTTTTATTTTTGGCAATGGCGTTGTCAGTTTGTTTTCGATCTATGAGTTTGACTGTCCCTCTGGTATCTTTCGTCCCTCTTTTATAACGCGTTGTTCTAGTATACGCGAAGGAAATGATACGCCTTAGTCCAGTGCATGTACACGAACTGCATATTATATACGTGATCATGTTCGAAACACGAACGATGTGTAATGCGTTATGCTATGGTATGCAATCAGTCTGTAACGCGTTTCTCTAGTGAATCAATCTAACAGCAACATGCAACTCTAGAAAACGAGTCACAATTGCAGTATGAACCGAGTAATCCAACATATTTGTTATATTTTCTTGGACAATTATGACAGAGATAATATATTGATGTTACATGTAGTAACTCTATACTGCTTACAATGAAAAGTTGCTAGATTTTTTAAACTTCATTCAAAATGCTATATAGTTTAAACAAGCGTTTTAGTTGTTTAATAATCTTAATTTATCAAGATATTCACTTGTGAAATAAATACTTCACAAAACATTTATCTAATCACAATGATCGATTAAAAACAAAAGTTCAAGGAAAACTGAGAATACATGTATACAATATATATATATAATGTTGTCCGTTAGCAGTATGCATTGATGAGATAGCAACAAAAACGACAAAAAAAAGACAAAACATTTGGTTTACATTTGTCACTTCGGGGTCTTTTACAGCTGACTATGCGGTATGGGTTCTGTTCATTGTTGAAGGTCGTACGGTGACCTATAGTTGTTAACGTCTATGTCATTTGGTCTCTGGTGTAGAGTTGTCTCATTGGCATCTTCTTATTTTTATAAAAAAAAAAAAACACATTTAGGGGTGTGCATAGTTACGGCCTTAATCAATAGGCAGACGTTTATGATACAATAGTATGAAAACAATAATAATTATGGAAATATATACAATATATCAAGCTCCAAATCGCCACGAGTCTACAAAAGTTGTGAGTACTTGCAACTAAGACTATCAAAGATCTAACATCAACATAGAGTTCCAGTTATAACAAAAAAAAATTGTATGCTATTATTTACAAACGACAACCATTATCGAGGTTCCTACATGTAACTGGGAAAGGGAAAATAAAAATGTGGCAGGGTAAACTATTTTCTATATTTCAACCCTCTGCCTTTGAATTTCAATCATTGGCAAAACAGAAGATTCATAAAAAATGGTACACTAAAAATGAGAAAAGGAAAAGAATTTCGCATTAAAATACTATAAAATATGGAGAGTGTGGTATGATTGCCAATGGTGACAACTATCCAACAAAATTCAAATAAAGTGGATGTAAGCAATTATAGGCAACTGGTCGGCCTTCATGAGAAAACCCCATACCGTATAGTCGGCTATAAAAGGTCCCGATATGAAAAGTATGAAACACTTCAATTGAGAAAACTAACGGCCTAACTTATATAACAAAACAATATACGAAAAACAAATATGACAGACGTGAAACAACGACAACCACCGAACTACAGGCTCCTGGCTTGGGACAGGCACATAAAGAATGTGGCGGGGTTAAACATGTTTGTGAGTGCTCAACCCTCCCCTAACCTGAGACAGTGGTGTAACAGCACAACAAAAGAACAAACTATAAAAATCAGTTGAAGAAGGCCTAACTCACCAGATCGATACAAAAACAAACATCAAACAAAAACACAGACAGGACGTGGCAGGGTTTATTAGATAACAAAAATCACAATACAAATATAACAATACCGTTTAAGAATGCTCACAGTTATTGAAAGCACTCAGTCTACTGATATAAAATCATGCTATTCCCTCGCAGCATTTTACAAATCTATGTTAATTGCAGGTATTACATGTATTTCACTACCTACTATAATAATAGTTTTTTTTTACTATTTTTAGTCAATGCAGTTCTTAATTTTGACAGCAACTACAAATTCGATTGTTGTGGTTTCATAAATAAATGGGAAATCTTTGTACGAAAAAATCCAAGTACATTTAATGTGAAAGTCCAAGTCTGGTACGACTCAGTGTCATTATGGACTCTGCGTGGGGAGAATATTATTACCGCTACTGGTAAGATATTTGTATTTATGAAATTAATAAAGAAAATTAAGTGCTAAAGAAATAAAATCATGTTTTCGGTTATCCAAAGGGTTCTTGATATTAAGGTTTAAAAATAGTAAGAACAAATTGAACTTCAAGGTTTATTGTAAAACTGTCATGTCCATGCATATTGAGTAAAGTCATCTCTTCGAAAACTTTGCAAACATAATATTGTTTCTGTAATATTGTTTTTATGATATTGATTAAAAAAATTCAAAACTGAAGGGCAAAAGTTTATATTGAACGTGTGTTTTGTCATCTTCAAGGGTTTTAATGTTTTAACGTAAAAATTAGAAAATAACAATTGTACTATACGTGAAGGTCTTTTCTGAAAAAATGTCCATATACATGTAAAAACTGTACTTGTACTTATATATATATATGTATATGCTAATTGAAATAATTTTTTTTTCGAAAAATTGTAGACATGTTCATGACCTACATGAATTTAACTGTTACGGAATATTTGGTTAAAAAGTCCTAAAGATATGTTCTATTTGTCATAGACATAATCCAGGCATTACGTATAACTAAATACGACACATCTAGTTTTTCTTGTTTTTGAAAAAAGTGGCTACAGTTTATACAATCTGAATCAAAATTATGTTTTTCTTGTTTAGCACAAGTAAATGCCATCTACCAAGCACTGTATAATATACTTAAAGAAAGATCTAAATGTACCACAAACAAAATGCCGGATAAGTACTGAATTCACTGAGCGAAGTGGAAATGTCTGAAAAATCGTAAGACAGACTAAAAATCAAAATCTATTTACTATTCTTGATGCATGAGCGCCTGAAAACAAAGCAGTAATCTCCATATCGTAGATTTGTTTCCTATATGAAATGAACTCTATCAACTTCTTGCTCATTTCTCTGAAACGCGTAAGTTTTTTATCATTGAAAAATTTCAAATTTATTCACTATTTTTGTTGAAATGTATAATACAATAGAATTAATTAAAAAATATTTCAGATGATAACAAAGAGAATGAAATTGCAATTCCGACTGGATCTAGAATCCATGCATTCAAAGACGATTATATAGGCTTGTATGTATGAAATTACAAACAACTCACCACATTTCTCTTATTGATTAGTAAAACCTCGTTTAATTATAGTAAACCTCTCTATCAGGATCGCTGTGTACTACCACCAGAGTAAGTTGGTTTAAACTGGATATGCGTAACGTAATTTGCACTGTCAAAACGCGCTAACCGTTAAAATGTTTGTTTTATACTTCCACCGACCTTACATGGGCTTGTACAAATCCCTTTTGTAACGCTGATAAACTACACCCGTAGTTATGTGCCTGTTTCTCAGTATTGTACAAATACATTTTATATTTTGAGACAATGTATATACATGTTTTACATGTATAATGAATGTACGACAGAGAAGCACAAAAACATCAGCTTATAACTTAAGAAATCATAATGTCTCATTTGGGGCTTGAATTTATTTTGACATACCCCGGATTTGCCTATGATGCCAAATATTTTCCACGAGGAAAAGAATAAAGTTAAATTTTGAATATGTAATAATTGTGTGTGTTTCTGTCAAAAGAAGCAAACCAAATCTTAAATATGCAGATCTGTGCTATCGAGTAATATTATTTCAAAATGGCACTATCCGGCCATGATGGAGGTTTGATGTGTATTGCCGATATATAAGTATGAATTACAGTGACATGCTAAAATCAGTGCGCAACGTTCTTTCGACATTTAATCATTTATATCTGTCTGTGATTATTTCTACATTATATCTGTCTACGACGTGTGAGTAAACTGGAACAGCTAAACAAAATATATGATATTGCCGATCAGCTGACATACAATATATTCGTTTATTATATGATTATCAAATTCCTCTTTTCTCATTGACTAAAACCATACGGAATCTTTTTTGACAAAACATTATATTTACCGCGGGAGGTTAATATAACATTTGGAAGAGCCAACGTGTACCTAAATAGTTATTTTCCGAGGCCACGTCAATAACGTAGAGTTATTTTTTGTTTTTCTCTTTTTCCCTTTTTACATTTTATTGAATATTATATTTTATAAAAGCTAGCAAGTACCAAAACAGACAATAAATTTAGTATAAAATCAAGGAACAGTTAAATATCTTGAGTAAATGCTAAAAAATTGTAGATGGAGAAAAAAAGTCATATAATAAAACAATTGTGACTTTTGATATCACTTGATACAATGATTTATCAACCCCAGAGATCTAGATATGACATTGACCTAGGTGAATCTCATATCTCTTGGGTTGATAAATCATTGTTGGCCTAGACGAATAACATATATTTGGAGTTTATAAAAAATTGTATCAACCTCACCAAAAGCGTCGTAATATAATTTATTTTAGAAGCAGCTGAAAAATAATATTCGTTATGGATAAGTAACTAATAGTTTGATTTCATAAATTTTCACATGTTCTGATATATTTTTGTATTTGTTGTTTGTTTATGCAGTTATGAATATAATGGATCTGTTATCACGTATGGAAATGGTGGTGACTATAAGATAGATACCTTCGCATCAGACCAGTCAACGTTCGACTGGACTGCAGTGACGCTTGGAGGCGATAAAAGAGATCATGCCATTCATGCCCGGATTACTAAAAGTATGTTCATCATTTTTAGCACCTGGCTTATAGGTGTCTGATGACCCCGCTTGCCAACCAAGATGGCCGACATGGCTAAAAATAGAACATACGGGTAAAATGCAAGTTTTGTCTATTATTTTGAAAACCGTTTTAAATTTAAAAAAATGGCGTAAATCGGCGCTGTAAATTTAAAGAAAACATTCGAAATATGTTTATATTCGTGGAGAAATAAGTCAATGGTACGGTTTTTAATGGAAACGGAAATGGGTGGGACATGAGTAATTCACTAAGTCACCGTTGCAAACTTGTTCCGATTTTTATTTTGAAAAAAAAATGTACTTTGATTTTGAGAATTGATCGTAATTGCAAGGCACTGTTATCCTTGTTTGAGTATGTTTGATATTGGATATTATCAGATTTCTCGAAATTGTTTTTTTTTCTGGCGGTCCTTACTCGAAGAAAATCTGCTGATCCTCGCTATTATTTTTATGTTAAAATACCAAAAATGTGTCAGTCCTTTGAAAATTTGGGTGGTCAAAACCTTTGGACAACCACTTTTCGAGAACTCTGATATTATGGGATTGAAATTTGCTGTTACAAAATTTTGGAAATTATTCTTAATCTAGAAATATATCTACCTCATGCAAAGCTCTGATTCCTTACCCCACTTTGACTATGCTTTAAGTTGTTTTGGTTTTAATATGTCTTCATTTTTTTTTTAAATGTTTTGGACTCGAGCATCACTGTGAAGAAACATTTATTGCCATAATGCGCATCTGGTGCTGTACAATTGGTACCGTTAATGTTATAATAGTCAATAAAAACTGTTAGGATGAACATTATTTCGTTTGTATTCAACCCATAAATTCTTTTAAGGTGGTACCCAACACCTTGACTAAAATTAATTTGGCAAGTTTAATTTTCATAAAATTTTGACAAAATATTTACTTTGACCCTTTGAAAAAATATAAAAATTTCAAAAAACTTGAACCAATCACTTTCTCGGAAAATTTTCATTGGATATATAGCAGTTTGACAAACACTAATTTTAATCATTGAGAAGCTTAATATTTCCTTAGCCATACAACGTAATTAAAACGTTTAGCTGATTTTACAGAGTTATCTCCCTGTAGTGTTAGGTACCACCTTAATATCTCATTTAAACTAAATTGTTCCCGACATATGGTATTGATAATACATGTGTTAAAATAACTTAAAACCCGCCGTATATTCAAATTCCTCTCCCAAGTCAGGAACCTATGTAGTGATTTGTTTTTTTAAATAATTATACTTTAATTATCATTTTCATTAGATATTTGGTGTTGATGGTAGGTCTTTGATAGTCGATTTAAACGTAATCTCGGAGCAGTTTATAGAACATGTTGTAATTGTGGACATTCAAGCGGATGTTGACCTCAAGATGTCTTGTGGGCTTTTGTGTCGTTGAGTTGCTGTCTTATCGACTAATTTTCTACACCTGCTTTTATTTATGAGGGTCTGGGTGGGGTTTACAGAATAGAAATGATGGGCAAAATGTGCAAAATAAATGGCAAAATGAATAAAGAATAGAGAAAAATAGGGCAAACAAAATAAAGATAGTCTAAGAGAATAATGCGATGCTTAAATATAAAGAAGAGAAAATAATGGACAAAAAATATAAAGAATACAGAAAAATGACCAAAAAAAGGTAATGAATACAGAAATGAAAGACCCCCATCCAGAGCCACATTTATATTTACTAAAACGGAGAACAAAATCATCTTCATTACAAATTGCAATGCTTATATAAATTTCAAAGGATTAAAATATAAAATATGCCATTATTTCTGAGTCCTGTTGATAAACCAAATGGTTTTGTTGGTTGTTTTTTTTTTATAATTATTTCACAGTTTTCTTTAACTGCAACTTATGAAATATATATTATTATTATATCTTATTATTATCTTCTTTTAGGTGAAATACCAACTTTCACTAACCTAAATGATACTGTTGCAATAAGTAACAATGCCGTAGCCGGAACTGTTTTGTTTACTCTCGCTACGAGTGACAGTGATCCTGAAGATGCCGGTCAGTTGACTGTAGCACATACACCGAGTTCTGGATCTGCAGCAACCTTCTTTGAACTCGACTCTTCCACCTGTAAGGTTTTGAAATTATAAATCATTATATTTCAAATTTAGAATATTTCTTTTACTAATAGTGAAAAAATTTGAAAGAGTTTAACTCTGGCAGCTTCAACATGACATAAAAATGCTTCATACTTTTATTACATTGTGACTTGGTTGGAGAGTTGTCTCACTGGCACTCATACCACATCTTCTTATTTATATTAATAGATGAAATTAGTGGAGAAAACAATTTTCTAAATTGTTTTTGTACTCGTATTGTGGTGTTTTTTTATTATTATTGATAGCGATTGAAATAATCAAACTCTTTCTATAGCAAAAGATATCTTTAAAAGTTTCTTTCCCAAGTGGCCTCGTTGGCCGAGTGGTCTATGTAGTCCAACTACTGAATCACTAGCCTGTCAACTATGAAGATTTGAGTTCGAATCCCGCAGGTAGTAGGTGCGCTCGACTCCAATGTTAATTGACTAGGATTGTCAGTTTTCCTGTCGAAATTAGGTGGTTCTCTCCTGGCACTTCGGTTCCCTCCACCACTAAAAACTAACCTCCACGAAATAGCCAATAGTGCTGGAAGTGGCCTTAGCCACACATTATTCAATCAATCAATCACCCTTTTCCCCATTTACATCAGATATTGGCATTATGAGAATACAAACCCTGGTTCAAGGGTAAATTAGCTTCATTTTCGACATGAGGAAATGCCTGTACCAAGTCACGAATATGACAGTTGTTTTCCATTCGTCTGATATGTTTGAGCTTTTGATTTTGCCATTTGATAAAGGACTCTCCGTTTTGAATTTTCCTTGGAGTTTGGTATTTTTGCTATTTTACTTTTTACCATTTTCAGTACGCTTGGTTATATCTAATCAAACAGACGAATACGTCATCGAGAATATCTGCCTTGCAAAGAACTCTTACGGAATTTTTTATTTTGCTTTCCTAGATTTTCATTCATGTTCAAAATAATATGCATAGTTATACGACAATATAACTCGACAAATTCAAAAAATTAAATTACCCCCCCCCCCCCTCCCCCTTCCCGTATAAGTTATTTAGCAAATATGTTGGTGTGTCCTGCAGTGGTCCAAATGTAATTACAAATCTCAACTGTCATTGACTAAGAAGTAATGACAGCTTATTTGTAATATTTCGTTGTCCGTTATATTTTATGATTTTTTTATAATACCTTAATTGAGTGGACAAATTAAGCGTCATCGATATGTAGTAAATAACTCCTTTCTAACTGGAGCTAAATGAGATATCTTTTGCTATACAAAGAGCATGCTTATTTCAATTGCTGTACAAAATAGATACAACAATTACAAGACCTATAATTGTTTAAAGATTACGAGTGAAAAAAACGAGTAACTTTTGGTATCCGTCGGATTTCGCCAGACTTGTCAGTGGGAAATATAGTGTCAAAATACTTTCTTCCCTTGTAAATTTTGAACTTCTCTTTTCAATATTTGTTCCGTTTTAGCTAGAACGCTATTTGCTTTAAATTCACATGGAAATGTTCTGATAAATAGTTACAATAAAAAGGAATTGAAATACATACTAAATTTCCATATAATGTTATCATTTCCCTCCTAAATAAGCAAACGACGAGTACAGCAGGCTATAGCAGCTTTGTATAAAATTGACTTAAAATGTTGCTGTGCGAACAAATTCCTGGAGTAGCAACTTCTATTTATTTTTCTAATGCTGTACACCTCTCTGGAACATGCCAATTATCCGTGTATACAGCGAAATCAGACAAGTTCAGGGAAAAAGTTCAAAATGAATCGTTTGATATGCAGCAAAGATTAACACTTATGAAATTAAGTTACTAAACAAATAAAACGGACGTTATCCCGATGTAAACATTGAATGTGAGTAGATCAAGAAGACCACAAATACATGTAAAGAAATCGAGACGACATTTTCTTAAAATTGTATAACAAAATAGTAAAAATCTTTTAATAGATAACCTAGTAGTACTTTATAATTGTATTGTTGAATTTTTGAGCTTGCACAGATACGACTTTTAAATTGTTATATTTACGAAAAAACAATATTTCTATATTGGAAGTTTACGTGACAAGAGCAGACAGGTGTATCGAAAACTCAACATGTTAAAAATAGGTTTATTTTTGGGAAATTGTAACATGCTAAGGACTATGTGGAACACTCCGAAAATTGGTGAATTGAAAGATCTTTAGATTTTGTATGTAAATGTTTTTCATTTTTTTTTTATATGCAGCAAAGATTACCATTTTCTTTTATTTCAGTTTCACAAGCTTCTAATGCAGTTATCTCGATAAATAATGAACATAAAACATCGTGTATTTGCATTTATATTTCTAAATACACAGTTTAACAACCAATTTCTTTGAAATGAACGCTTGTTGTTTAGAAATAACTGTTGATCAGTATCGTCACCGACATTGTTTTACCATTGATTTTCTCAACTTTTTTTATAGGAAGAGTGAATTTTCTATTGTTCTCGGTCGTCGGTTTTGCCATTGTTGCTGTGCGCGCTACATACGTCACTGCAGCTACTCTATTTGAATTAGGTTGAATGTGAAAGTTTGCCCCATAGTGGTCTAAATGTAATTACAAATCTCAACTGTCAATGAATAATAAGTAATGACAGTTTCTTTGTAAGATTTCTTTGTCCGTTATATTTTACGATTTTTTTATATTACTCTGCGTGTAGAAAATAATACCTTTTCACAAGAAGAGTGAATTTTCTATTGTTCTCGGTCATCGGCTTTGTTTTTGTTGCTGTGCGCGCTATGCCATTGCTTATACTCTTTTTGAATAAGGGTCCATTATGTTGAATGTGAAAGTGCACATCCACGTCCTATAGGTAGTACAAATACGTAACGCCCTATTTTGGACATTGGCTCGAAGAAACATAATTTTAAAGGACTTAAATACTATCGGAGGGTTGAAGCCCTGTAAAATCGCGTTTTACACACAAAATTCAAATGAATGTGACTCTACAAAGTCATAACTATCACACAGGCATTCACCACTTCCCCCCATAAGGACCATATGAGGAATTAAAAAAAAACATGTTACATGAAGTATATATGGACAATGCTTTTTTTTAGAATAAATCTTTGAGCATTTAATTTAGTACATTTTCATATTCAATTAGTAATCTAGTCTTTATTAAATTTTTACATAGAACATACTCCAAGCAATTATACTTATTTTGATATGGAAATCAGAATGAAAGTAAAGGTGAACTATATATCAATCAGACAGCATCCAACAACACAATTAAGAGAACATCTTTATTTCCATGATGTCAGCATATGAACTAACTTGATAGACGTGATGTCAACCTCTTCGTAGCCTTTGTTCTTCTCTAAACAAGCTATGAATTAAGCCACTAAAGAACATTCGTCTACATCGGATTTTAAAATGTAAAATCATCCCTAAATAACGACTTGCTATGTTGTTGACTTTGTATAATACATGCAAATTATATCAATGTAAATACCGATGTAAAGCATATCTTTATATATCAAACAGCGGAAGTTAAAATTAAGTCTGGTGTTTCTCTTTCCCCTGGAGATCATGATATGACCTTCAGTGTAACTGATCCATGTTCAAGATCTTCATCTGGTATTCTGACGATACGAGTAGAAAACGATGTAAGTATATTTCATATACATATATTCATACATATATTCTTACATATATATGTATATAAACATTGTATATGTATGCGTAAAATGTCATCTCAAATATGTTATATTCCAGCAGTTTGTGATTGCATGAAAATATACCTACTAAACCTTTTGAATATAAAAAAGGAGATGTAGAATGAATGCTAATGAAACAAATATCTACCATGGACCAAATGATTTAAATGTAAGCAACTAGAGGCTATTGTACGGCCTTCAACAAGGAGCAATACCAATATCGTATAGTCAGCTATAAAAGTCCCTACATAGACAAAATTTGAAATAATTCACACGTGAAAACCAATGACAAAATAATAATGGAAAAACAAATATGACAGACAGTAATCAACGACAACCACTGAAACCCAGGATCCTGTCTAGGGATAGATACACCGAAAATGGTGCAGGGTTTAACATGTTTGTGAGCGGACAAACCCTCTATAAATCTGGTACAGTGGTGTTTAAGCAAAACATAAGAACAAACTGTCAAAACCGGTTGGAAATTTACTTGACTTATCAGATTGGTCACACGCTCAAAAGAGAACGGACATAAAGACAAAAGACACAATGTATAGACCTAAGAGAACTCGCAGCTACTGAAAGCTATCTATAGTTCAAAGCCAACTACAACTACTAAAAAACTCATTCAGTGTTCAGTGTAAAGACGTCACAAACAGTCTTCATTTCTCAGTCCTTCTACGCAGACTTTCAATAATCGATTTTATTTATCGGTCTATAAAAGTATATAATATGTATCAGATGAAGACTAAAATTGTTTGGGTTAGGGCATTTCTAGGATTAAAATTAAAGAAACCTCAATCGAATCCACCGTAAAAATCCGAAACATTTAATGTTACAGCCACCTGTTATTACAAGTTTGGCTACAAGTAGTTCCACCACTATATCTGAAGACCTAACAACAGAGACGTTATTGCATACCCTCATTGTAACAGACTCAACGCCTACAACTTGCCAGCTAGATTCTCCTGGAGTTCCATTTCAAATTAAAACTATATCTGGCAGTACAAGTAAGGTTTTATAGAACTGATTTATCTTTTTCCACTATTCTTTAATAATTACCAAAAGATCTCTCACCCATATTGGTGCATAAGAAGAAAAAATGTTCTTCCTCTTCAGACCATAATGATGTTGGTTTTATTTGTAACATATTTAGAGGTTGAAATATCTCTAACTTTCGTCGATCTCTGTACATATTCAGTATATTTATTACATTGTTTGCAATTAATTTTCTTTATTCCAATCAAAATGAGCAGTAGAGTGGAGGTATGGTGAAGACCATAGTTTGGTTCATGAAATTACAAAAATATTAAAATGATCCAGCGCCCTTGATACTATGTTAACTTTATTGATTGATAAATTTGATAATATAATCTGGACTTTTCTGTAAAATATTTTCAGTTGGGTTGTCACTTAGACTTCTATGTCGCAAAAGGCACTGATAATTTAAGACGGCAACAGTAGTAGTAATAATATTACCGGTACCAATTTTACTGCATGTTAAATGCGTGTTTCCACAAATAATGTCCCCTCAGTGATGCTCGAGGCAAAAGTATTTGAAAATCCTAAAGTGTACAAATACATTTAGACATAGTTTGTTAAAGATTTGATTGAATTTCATATATATAATGTGCAATAATTCCAACAGAAATGTCTACATTGAACCCCAGAACCGTTAAAGGTTCATAAAGGTCCTCAAATCTTTATTCCACAGTCTTTTATTACAATTTGTTGATACATGACATTTAAAGGTTCAAGCCCTTCGAGTAAAAAAAAAAATAAATAAAAATCATACAAAAAAAAAAGATACAAAAAAACCTTTTCATCGACGTCATTTGGATTCAGTTGGATAGTTGTCTCATTGGCAATCATGCTACCTCTCATCATCTATATATTATCACCAAACCAGTCTGTATATTATGATACTGAAGCTTAGACAGTTGTTAGCTATGTATTCATGAACATTGTGCCTATAAAAGTAAGCTTTTGATCCATTTTAATTGATGAAAAACCGTCTGTGTTGAAATAAGTCGAAGTTTTGAGTGTGGAAAACGTATAACGGGATTCAAAGTTATGTGAACATTTAGAAAAAAAAGCTTTGAGATTCCATAGTATTCTGTTGTAATGATATCTACCGTGATATTAACTCTATGAACATTTGTAATTGTACAAACCATTAATTTAAGATGTTATACATATTGTTATGCTGATAAACACGTTGTAAAGTATGAGGGATCTGAGATCTGATCGCTCTTTATAAAGGTTATTATAGAAAAGCAATTCAATTGCAACAAAAACAGTTTAATGTTACAATACTTTTTATCTATAAGACTTTCATATCTGTATTTCTCTCTTATGTCTGTTATTTATTCTTCAGATTATGGTATATTTCTTTCTACTGGTGCATCCATGGATTACGACGCACAAAATGCATATGTCCTAGATTTATCTTGCACCGATTCTTATGATGCGACAAAGGGCATTTTTACCGTGTATCTTGTTAGGAATGAGGTGAGTGAAGAATTCTCTTATTTATCCAAGATTTCTATATTCTAACTCGTCTATGGAAGATTTGCTTACGGGGAAATAACGTCCGTGCTTTACGTTGTTCCCGATTAATATAGAAGAATAAACTGTTAGTAGAAAAGGCAATATCTTAGCTTGCATTAGAATACATATTCCTATCAAATACTTGTCAATGAACAGATTTATGCAAGTTTAAAATTTAACTAAACACTTCAAAAAGGATTCATTTTATACAGTTATTAAGTAGCGGTCACCAAAGTCACATCAAAGTCACACTGACGACTGTATATCTTCTGCAATGATGACTTCTGTACCAATACGTTTAACAAACACGGTAAACTTGTGTGCATAAGAAAGTAGGCAGTTGCTGCTACGATAATATCAATCGTTGTGTTACCATTTTTTTTAGAGATTTCCAATAATATGACATTACTCGGCATAACCAACCTATCTGAACATCGACTTCATCTGTTTTGCCCGTTGAATACATATACTTTGTTGGAATATATGTTATTTAAAATTAACCCACTTTTCTATTTTAATCTTTGCATATTTGTTTCATCTGAATTCTGTATAATTTTATTGACAACATCATTCAACGTGGGAATACATAATCCAGTTACCGGTAATCAAATGTACCGATCGATACTTGGTCATTCCACTTGACCCTTATATTTAGTACTCAAGGGTAAATTTTAAAACTACTAAATAAAAAATAAGTTTGAAAAAATTAGAATAACAAAATCTGAAGCGAGATAATATTCTTTATTTTTGATTCATACTAGTTATAAGGTTGAAACAGGAGTTCATACACGCCGGAATGTAAAAGGTGTACACGACAGGTGTACACGACTTACCTCTCTTTTAGCACATCTTTTAAATTATTTCAGACAAGATACCTTTGTGTTAGGTCGAAATTGAGATCACTGATGCATTTGTTTGACAGTGCTTTGCCATCCTTTTGTACAATTTAATCAAATGGAATGAGGATCACTTTCAAAAAACACAAATGATTCCACTTTACCATTTTTACTGAATCAGTTATCATTGTTAACTTCTTGTCATTAATTATATTGATGCATGGATTCTAGGAATGTCTAGTTGTGTAATATAACGTCATTGCTCCAAAAAAATATTTTATGAAATGCTTGGCGTTTAACTTTAACTCTGAAAACGGACATGTTTGGATCATTTAATTGCAGTTTTGTTACGAAGGATCTTTCAGCTTTATGGCCAACTTTTGATATCAAGGGGATATAATATTTTCTGGTCAATGATTTCTTCCTGTTCCAAATTTTAAACTGTCAAAATTAGGCTTTGACCCGGACTAATTGGTTCACTGAATATGGAAATGTGATAATGTGAAGAGACACATTGTCTTATGGCCACTTATTCTTTTTTCAAATGTTTTCAATAACCATGTTCATGTTTTTGTTTCTTCAATATTCAAAACCGCCTCGGTGGTCTTGTGGTAGCGTGCTCACCTCAAGTGCGGCAGGTCATGAGTTTGAATCGAAAAATGACTGCCTCTCTGCTAAGCACGCGATATTTAGGAGTAAGAGCAAATGTTGATCCTTCCGGAGTCAGAATAATGTGTCTTTGCATGGTTACGTGTCTTCCTGCGGACTTTTACCCTGTGAACTAAGATATAAAAAAAATGGTTCAGCGTGTCAGCCTTGTACAAAGTCGGGTTCATATCCGTCTTCTCGTCCTGAGTATGCACATTCAAAATACATATGAAATAAACACTTGTGGTCCTACATCATGTTGATATACTTATATACTTAGCGTTGTGCAAAGTTGTGATCTTCTGAATTACGTTTAATATAAACACATCGAAAAGAAAAAAAACACAATAATTTATGAAGAAAAAAAAAAAAAATTCGGTGACGACCTATACATTGCTAATCAATAAAATGGATAAAATACTATAAGTTAATGTACTTAAGGGGTATAAAACATTTTGCCTGGAAATGTTTTTAATATTTTTACTCATATAACATTTTAATCTGTCATTTCCGTTAAACAACACAACACAGAACAATCCTTAATGCAGCACACCTAATAAAAAAACCTATATAGGGATTTTGTTATATATAAATAATTTTATAATAAATGAAAAAAAACTTGTATTTAGAAATTAAATGAATGCGATAGTTTTTATGTCAGTTTTCCAACATTTATCAAGAGACAATTTCTGACAAACACTGATTTCGACATTTCTGAATATGTCAGAAAAATATACTTCGAAGAAATATTTTCCCCAAAAAAATATAAATATATAGATAGAGAGACGAAAAAAGAAAGAAAATCGAATAACCACAAAAAATAAAGCACGGAAAATATAGAATAATGGAGCGTTCAGCTGCAAAGTATATTGAAAAATAATTGTCACAATCAAACCATGAAAGATACCTTAATTAAACGTATGATAGGTAAGGGCGTGATCTTTAACATATATCAGTGAAAATTAAGGTGGGGGATCTGAAGAATCACGTGATAAATAAAAATACCTGATTTCTATCATTTTACATAATTTAGAAATTATTTAATAAGGATGAAATGTAAGTGTAGGATTTTAAAAGTCTTGGAATGTTTTATATTAATTTGAGCGACGTATTTAAAAAAAAAATGCATGGGTTGGCAATAAACCGTTCCCATTAGGTACGTACGTCGAGTTATGTACGTGTGTCATTTTTTGGAAAATAAAAATGTGCTTTGTCTCTATCATATACGGTTATAGGTCAAAATAGGGGTAAACAGAACGAAATTGTAGACTTAAATTCTGTGTGGTTTGGTCATAGTGTTTACAGTCAATATTTAGAAATTGAATGCAGGCGTTTTCAGTTCAAAATGTCAAGTTTTTGGGTTTTTTTTGTTGTTTTTTTTTTTGTTGTTTTTGTTTTTTTGTTTGTTGTAAATTACGTTATATATGTACGCTTTGCATCTTAACGGATGAGTTGCATTTTCGTTACTGTCTGTATTTTCTTAAAATTACATGTAAAAAACGAACCAGTACGGAAATAGGAATACGTATTACTAAAATGCATGTATTTTTTTCAAAAAACCTTAATGTCTGCTGTATATAATCCTCATAATAACTGATATCGAAACTGATTAATGTAATAGACAACATGAAAAAATCATTGCAAAATTCATGATCCTATTTCGATCAATAAAAATATTAATAACGATGATAATATAGATAAAATCAAAGTTACATCGTCTAGAACTTTTCTTAAATTTTCTTAATCCTTTTTGACCGTTACGTCATTGATAATCAACCATTTATATCCCATTGTTACTTTTTATTCTATTATATGATTCAATTTAGCCTCCAACAATAAATGGATTACCAAGAGCCTCAGATATACAAGAGGATGTTATTGTGGAGACAACACTTTACACCTTCTCTGTAACAGACCCAGAAAGTACAGTTGTGACATGTGATGTCACAGCAATTACTCCAAATACAAATATTATGTTCATCAAGCCATCTCCAAACGTTAATGGTAAATATATGTGTATGCAAATGTGTAAAGGACAAGTCTTAAAGACATGAGAATTAAGTAGAGAACAACATCAAAATACGCTGTTGTCCTGAAACATGGTTTTCATGCCTCTAAAATATACGGTTAAACTCTTCGGAGTATCAAGTATCACAGCATTGTATACCGACAAAATTTTAAAGATTGCATGCGACGGCATCAACTTCCTAATCAATTGACGAACTATGTCCTAATTAAATACAACACTCTATGATAAACCGGTTATTACGATTTAAAAACAATTTTAGTTATGGCACTAAGAATAGTGAATGTTTTATTATAGAATGCACTTATAATAGCCTGTGATTGCATAATACTGTCTAATAATGATAATATTCATGACAATTAGCAAATTATACTTTTATTGGATAGCAAAAGGTTAAATATGACACGAAAACAATGTTTTACTACATTTATTCTTATCGGCTCCATTTGTGAGCTATCATATTGTAATAATGCGGGATTTGTTACGCTATGATACATTAAAAAAAATAATAGCGGTTTGACATAATATGAAATGTTTTAAGCTCAAACGCTTCACTCAATAACCAGAATAGCTACTGCTTTACGGCTTATATTTCCGATATCAATAAGGTATAAAATTAATAACATGAACATTTCTTTATAAGTGATTCTGTGTCAGGATGAGAGATATTATTTTATCCCAATTGACAAATATCTTTCATTTAGATAATTTGAAAAAAAGATAGTATTTGAATTTTGATACTGTTTTAAATCACAATTGTGGTTGTCAAAATAGTTATCGAAGTATAAAAGAACGAATATGTAGGTCTCTTACTAGTGAAGAAATGTATTGATATTCTCGCTCACTGCATTCGTCCGAATATAAAGTAATTATATTCTATAGCCTTCACAAAGAACAAAGATCTAATGTATGTGTGTACTCGCGATAACCTTTAATTCTATATCTTGTGTAACAAACACAACACATTATAAAAATAATCTTCATAATTACAAATACAAATGCACATTAAATTATCCGTGAAAAAACGTGTCTCTTCTTTAGGCTATAGCGAGAGTCGATGGTCAGAAAGATGACTGCACGGGTTTTAAGTGCAAACAAATGGCACATGGGGAATGTGTCAAAGAGACAACAACCCGACCATAGAGCAGACAACAGCCGAAGGCCACCAATGGGTCTTCAATGCAGTGAGAAACTCCCGCACCCGGAGGCGACCTTCAGCTGGCCCCTAAACAAATATGTAATACTACTTTTTGATAAATATTCCTAAAGTAATGAACATAGAGAAGTTCTCGCTCGGACACACACTCCATGTATAAATAACAATGAAATGTGAAATACTTCAAAAGACTGCTCTTCTGCATCCTTGCAACACGTTATGGTTAACTAAGATCTTAAATCGAATGCACAGCTTAATTCTATCGGTGAAGTTAAAAAGCTTATACAAACTCCATTACCCGCGAAAGTTAAGTTTTAGATGTATTCATCTTATTTGACATGCTCGCATACATTCAGTACTGCTACATGTTGCCAACTAAGTCAGAAACGGGGATTCATGTCATCTGTTGCCAATTGTAACATCGGTAGGGAATAATAATTATAGTTATAGCTGTATTTGTATAACATTATCTTCTTCTGCAGAATTTGACATATTGTTGCAGTCAAACCCTAGCCTTATATATGATGTAGTTAGAACATACAGACTCGATATTCAATGTAGCGATGGTCGACGGACAGATACTAATGTCTTCTTTATGAATGTGCTGCGTAACAAACCAACTGTGTTTTTGAATCTCCAAAGTAAGGGAGTCATAGATATATTTATTAATGTCTTATCAGTCTTGTCTAAAAGTTGAAAGAATTACCAATATTTCTGTTAAATCAATAAAATATGAAAATTCCATTTTATACATTATTAGTCCTTTTAAACTTACATATAATAGTGACATTGAAATTTGCTACTTGCTAAGCAAATACGTACATATAAGTTGGAAGTTCAAAAATATTACACAACGGAGAAGAGTTATAAATATTATAAAACAGGAATCCCAACACTATAAAAATGTTACGTAGTTTTGGATATCAATAACTCAGTTATGATGGTTTTTTTTATTCTCTTTTAATTGTCACCGTGATTTATGACAAAACCAGATTTTCTCTAATGTATATTTGCAGATATAACAACAGTGTCGAGTGTCGCATCTTACATTGGACAGATTGTTTTTGATGTTGACATATCTGATCCAGAAAATGACCAAGTCCAGTTTTCTATGTTTTGTGTACCGTCAACCAATTGTCCATTAGAAATATATCACTGTAAGATTTAATGGAAACAAAATGGTTGAAATAATTAACCATTATTTTTATATAGCTTGCTGATGCAAAAAACATACTACATAACAATTATTATGCAACTAATTTAAGAACAACGTAGTGACTACTTAACACATTTTTGTCGAATTAGTCTACCAATTATCATAGACCGATATAGTAAGTTGAGACTCCAATTAAGTCATATATTATTTGTATCTTATAGTCGACAAATATCAACGTATCTTTGATATTATTAAAGCTTTTACGAACTAGAAAATGTTTGTGGTAAAGTCTCACTTTTTTGTTCTTTGTACATGATGTTATAGAGAAAGTCCAAATAACTGTCCATTCCTGGGAAATAATGGAGCGGAGTAGTTATAAACTCACTAGTGAGTTCTTTTTATAACAGCTGCTTTAAATTGGGTTGATTTTAACAAGAAGTCCATAGTAGCTAGTGTCCAAGTTTGGATTATGTCACGTCTGGACAGTGAGGAAATTTTTCTCACGCAAAACACATTTTCACAAGAAACCAATGACGATAACTTGGATTTATGTAATTTTTTCTTGGGATATGATACTACTACTACTAGTGAAACATATTCAGTTGCATGTTCTGATATTTCTGAAGACGAAGGCTTTTCCAATCAAAAATTAACACAGTCTGACGACGAATTACTTATAAATGTCTCAAAAATTCAAAGTAAAAGTCATCAACCATCAACTTCAAGATTTCACGAGCCAAAGACAGATAAAGAAATCGAAGATATGCAATCAAAAATTTTTAAAGTAAGTAACTTATGTTTGATATATATGTAAACAGACGTTTTGTTCAAATCACAAAATAAACAGTAATACTAAATCATGAGACATTGTGCGTGGTTTGTCATCATTTAGGTTATGAAATAGTTGCCACTAGACGTTAAGCAATCAACAGTTAGTCAAATATCATGTTGATATTTTTTCGATTATACTTATTTAACTAAGAAATAAATAACAGGACCCATTTAACTCTGGAAATGAAGAAATAAAAGAAAAATGTAAAGCAGTCTTCCTTTGTGCATGATTACATCTTACAAAATGATAAGGATCAGTTGTATGCTGTGATAAAGTCTTCTCGTTCATCTGTACATCAAAAAAAAAAAAAAAATACGGAAGCCTGCGTAATTTTCCTTGTCTGTATTGAAATAAATATTTTAGTTTGATATTTAGAAATTCGCAAATGACCTTTCACATAAGATTCGACCGGCCGTCAAGTTTTTGTCGGTATTTTGTCACAGTCGGACTAAACAAAAGTTTGACCATTATCGCCTTCTTATTTATACTGCTTTTTTTCTTACTTGTGCACAAAAAGAACATATATTATACAATACATCATGGTAAAACACAAACAGTTCTTAACCAACGAATTTACAGATATGGATAGTAAGATTAAGGTTCGGAATTTAATTTCCATTTGATACTTGATTACAGCCGGACATACAGAATACGGTTAAATACTACATTTCTGTATCGGGACCTATTTGGGAGCAATGTATAATTCTATTGTTAGATATAAATAGTGACATAAAACAATCATATATTTGCATGTCCTATCTTCTTGTTTTTTTATTTTTTGTCTTTTTTTTTTAGGAATTTCGTATTGTCAGATCTTTGACAGTTTGTGTTAAGTTATTAATTTTTCTAAACTCGGGACGATATGAAGCAGTTTATTTTTGAAAACTGTATATGTTGTCGCCTATCTAGATATCTTTTATATTGTATCGTTGGGTTGCTGTTTCATTGATGTATACACCTCGTCTAGTTTTATTCATAAATTATTAGAAAAAATTCGTTTTATAGACATTTGTTTTTTAGTCGTGTATGCTAACCTTCATAAACCAATTTTTTAATATTGTTAGGTTGCTGTCTCGTTAACGTCTACCCTAATCATACTCTTTTATAATTCAACTCTCTTTACTGATCAAGGAAGGTGTATATCTCTCTCTTGCTTTCGCTCTCTCTCGCTATCGCTCTCTCTCGCATTCTCTCTCTCTCTCTCTCTCGCTCACAACTGCAATATTCGATTAATATTATTGAAGTATAGAGTAGATATGTATTTTCGCTGTGTGTTTGCTTGAACATTTATTATTGTTTTTTAATGTTGTAGGTTTGCTGACAGTACCATGAGCAAAACCAAGTTGGCAACGACCTTATTCAAACAATTGAAATATACCAGAAATATTAGGGCGAATGATCCAAATGTGGGACTTAGTCCAATTTGCGTAGATCTGGCTGAAATGTCGCTTGATGAATTGAATTATTCCATTTCCCGCTTTATTTGTGAAGTTCGTAAAGCTGATGGAACTGAATATCCACCAGATACGCTTTATTCTCTAGTTATTTGTTTACAGCTATGCATGGATACACTTGGATATTATCATAAGTTTCTATCTGATTCTAGCTTTATTCAGATAAAAAATTCCCTAGATAATGTAATGAAATTACGAACAGAAGTTCGCGTTCCTAAAAAACAGGCCGAAGAAATTTCTTTTGAGGAGGAAGAAAAGTTATGGGCAAGCGGTTCATTCGGATCTGATAACGCTCGTCATATATTAAATACGTTAGTCTATTTAATAGGTTTAAACTTTGCGTTAATGAGGTGGCCAGGAACACAGAGATTTAAAAGGGGGAAATTCAACACAATTTCAAATAAAAGAAAATAATTGTTCAAAGTGTTTGATTTATAATGAAGCAAAATCGAAGGCAGACTAAGGAGGTATCAAGCATAAAAACTTAAAAAGAAAATCTGTGGTGGCATATCAAAATACCGAAAATAAAGCTAGGTGCGTTTTGAATTTGTTTGAATTGTATGTTCCCCACTGTCTACCGTTTCCAAGGAAAGCCGATGCGTTGTAATTGAGACCTTTGAAATTCCAAACGGAATCATTTGGTATACTTATCAATTTATTGGTAGACATAGCCTTGCTAACATTGTAGCTAGCATTTGTCAGGAAGCAGGTATAGGTGGTTACCGCAATAACCACTCACTTCGACCTTCTGTCGCAACTAGGATGTACAACGCTGGTGTAAATGAGCAATTAATATGCAAGGTCACGGGTCATAGATCGAATGCTGTAAGAAATTACAAAGGAACAAATGAAAAACAGAAAAGGAAAATCAATTCCGTTATCCAAGGACGAACCGATAGTGAAAACTATGATTCCGGAAAGTTTAAAATATCCAAATCTGATGGCAATTCGTCAATTACATTGAATATTTCCATGAAGTGAAGTGTAATAGTTCAGTCAGTATTGTGTTTTGATGTTGGAAATGACCGAGTATAGTAATAAATATGCAGTGCTCCTATATTCTTCTTTTTTAGTTTCAGTCGTCATGTCCCCTTGACATCGATACAAGAAACACAAGTGCAGATGTATTCCTTGTTTGATGTTTGTAATCACTTGTTACAAATACATTTTTTATTTTTATTTCCTTCTCTTTCACTTTTCCTATAAAAATACGCAGTAATATGGAACATTTATTCAAAAGGGGGTTTTAAGTAAAATTACTGCATTTTGATAGGAAACAATGTTAGAGGGGACAAATATAAATATAAAATGTACTTGTGACAAGTCTTCTAGGTAAATTGTTGTCATCGGTTACAAAGTCTAGGTATTAGTCACAAAGCTTTTTCCCTCAGGGTATTGCATACGCCTAATAAAGACGGACAATAGGAAATAACTCTCCATTCCTGGAAAATAATGGAGATTAATAACAATAGATTTACGTCACAAGTGTGTTTTAATGTTTATTAAAACAATTTTTCAGCAATTCTGAGACACAAAGTAATTCTTTCGTCATTGCCAGAAACAGGTGTACTACATTTTGATAACCTACTAGCGAAACGTACCACATGAACTATTTTCATTAATCGAGAATTTTATCCACAACTTAGTATTAAGTAAAAATAGAAAAAAAAACTTTACTATTTGATTTATATATATTTTTTTTTATTTTATAGCTGGTGAAATAGTACTCAAAAGGTCAGTTGAAGGTGAATTTGTACCAGTCTATGATGTATATGTTTATGTGACCGACGGAAGATCGACAACAGGACCTAGGTCACTGACAGTCCATGTCTTAGGTAATGCATACATGTATATCAAAATTAGAAGATGTGTAGGCCAATATTCAGAGTTTAATCTACTGGACAATTCTAAAATGATTGTCATAACAATCATCTTTGTATTTTAAAGCTTGTACATCAACATTATAAACCTTTCGCTAGACACGATTTTTTGTTGCGTTTTTCGTGGGATTACTGCCTCATCGTGATCATAGAAGTATACTCCACATTTTCCTTTATTTAAATTATCATGAAAATATAATCATTACGACATATTACCTAGTGCAAGATCATAAGACTTTTAGTCGTAACTTCAGTATATATAAATACATAAACATCCACTCATACATCATGTAATGTGTTTTGTGCGTCAACACATTATCGACATGCTTTCGCGGTCTAGCAGAGGACGCTTACTTTGTCGACGCAACCGGTTTCGCTGCCGAATTCCCTCAATTTTTTTTCGTTACCTTGATTTGCATCTTTTTAATCGATTTATTAGACTTGAACATCGGTAAACTACTGTTGCCTTCGTTTACAATCCTTGGTTAAATTGCATAGGAAAGGCATAACTCAAGTGGTATAGGGCACTAAACTCCGTGCGCAGAAAACTCAACGATGTCATTGAAGCAAAGGTTAAAATCCCAATAGGTGGACGGAAAATGTTTTCTACAGCAAGTTTTTATATCTTGCATTGTTTGGATAAATTGCAGAAGAGGTATTTAAATGATAATAATAATATAGGTATTACAAACCTAGATAACGTCGACTAGAAGATATCATTCGACTAACGACAACTATATTTGTTCAAAGTCTAGTGTGTCGAGTGGTCTAGTTCGTTTGACAAAGTATATGTTGATTTGCCACGATGTCGCAGATGCATGGGTTCAAATCCAGTTTGATATGATAATTGCAAATGAGCAGATCTAACATTCTTTGGCTAAATTTCAGAAAACGAAAATATTTATTTTGTGGTGTTAAGGTGGTACCCAACACCTTGACTAATATTAATTTGGCTCGTTTAATTTTCCTAAAACTTTGACAAAATTTTTACTTTGACCCTTTGACAAAAATATAAACATTTCAAATAATTTGAACCAACCACTTTATCAGACAAATTTCATTGGTTATATAGCAGTTTGACAAACACTAATTTTGATCATTGAGAAGCTTAATATTTCCTTAACAATACAACGTAATTAAAACGTTTAGCTGATTTTTACAGAGTTATCTCCCTGTAGTGTTAGGTACCACCTTAAAAAAATCATCAAAGATACCAGGCTTATAATTTGGTAAGCTAGACATGCAATTTGTCTACACACTCAATGGCGTTCGAATCAAAACAGTTCGTGAAAACGGCAAATCATATACGGAGAGCATTAAAAACTGAAATTTAAAACAAAATGGTTTATACCATAATATGAAATAATCCTGGATTATCCGATAGAAAATATCAGTCGTATAATTGTCACACATATAGATATGTAAAATTAAAAAAAGAGGAAATATAGTTGATGTGACTGCATGACTGGTATTTGTCACCCTTAACGATTTACCTTAGCTGAATTAAGCTATTCGTTTCATGTCCCATATTGTGATTTAGATCCTAACGTTTCTACATATTTATACATCCTTGGCTTAAGATGTTTGGGTCGCAGTGTTCTAGAAAAGCGATTCGACCACATAAAACATATAAAACATATAACGACTAGTGTTTTTCAATAAACTAAATTTGATAAGTCTGGGATACATGGTCCGTTTAGGTGTTGGTTTTAAATAGCTTGCTATAACCGTGAAGACTCTTACATTGTCTTAGGTCGCGTCTTTTATCAGTTTATCATTTGCTTTCCGACCTAGTTCTGAACTGATGAGACAAGCCTTTTTCAACTATTTTTTTAAAAATCTACTGTAACACAACTTGTACAGATTAGGAGGAGGATTGGGGGTTCACAAACATGCTTAACTTTAGGTTTTTATCTTATATCAGACCATTAATTTTCTGTGTTGAATTATTTAATATTTTAATCTTTTGATATTTTGCTATACTTGGGCTTTTTTGTAACTTACTTCTGGTATGGGTTTAGCCTATGTTAAAGGCCTAACGGTGACCTGCTTGTATTTACAATTCCTGTCTCTTTGTGGCCTCATTACCAAAAAGTTATCCCATTGGTAATCGTACAACCTGCAGTACAATGACTACATTTTCCTCTTAACACTATTTACAGAATGTAGGTTTGATATACAGTTTTGTCGAGCCTGCGACTTTTGTCGCAGAAAGCTCGACATAGGGATAGTAATCCGGCGGCGGCGGCGGCGGCGGCGTTAGCTAACTTTTTAAAAGCTTTGTATTTTAGAAGGTGGAAGACCTGGATGCTTCATACTTTGTATATAGATGCCTCATGTTACGAAGTTTCCGTCAGTCACATGTCCAATGTCCTTGACCTCATTTTCATGGTTCAGTGACTACTTGAAAAAAAAGTTGATTTTTTGTAACGTTAAATTCTCTCTTATTATAAGTAATAGGATAACTATATTTGGTATGTGCGTACCTTACAAGGTCCTCATGCCCGTCAGACAGTTTTCACTTGACCTCGACCTCATCCCATGGATCAGTGAACAAGGTTAAGTTTTGGTGGTCAAGTCTCAGATACTATAAGCAATAGGTCTAGTATATTCGGTGTATGGAAGGACTGTAAGGTGTACATGTCCAACTGGCAGGTGTCATCTGACCGTGACCTCATTTTCATGGTTCAGTGGTTATAGTTAAGTTTTTGTGTTTTGGTCTGTTTTTCTTATACTGTATGCAATAGGTCTATTATATTTGGTGTATGGAATGATTGTAAGGTGTACATGTCTAGCTGGCAGGTTTCATCTGACCTTGACCTCATTTTCATGGTTCAGTGGTCAAAGTTACGTTTTTGAGTTTTGGTCTTTTTTTCTAATACTATATGCAATAGGTCAACTATATTTGGTATATGGAAATATTTTATGATCTATATGTCGGTCGCACAGGTTTTATTTGACCTTGACCTCATTTTCACGGTTCGTTGCTCAGTGTTAAGTTTTTGTGTTATGGTCTGTTTTTCTTAAACTATAAGCAATAGGTCAACAATATTTGTTATATGGAAGAATTGTTAGCTGTACATGTCTGCCTGATTTGGTTCATCTGACCTTGACCTCATTTTCATGGTTCATTGGTCAATGTTTAGTTTTTTTTGGTTAATGTTAAGTTTATGTTACAGTTGTAATAAAGCTTTATATTTAAGACTATTAACATAATATCAATGATTAATAAAGAAGGCGAGACATTTCAGCGTGTGCACTCTTGTATATTATATCTCTGTGTTTATTTCAGATATAAATTATGTTCCTGTTATAAGGAATCTTCCTCTACCTTCTGCATTGGTTGTTTCTGAAAATTCCGCTCTAGGTTTGAGTATATTTAAAGTATCAATACAGGACAATGACGGGTCTGATACGCATACATACTCTATGACGTCATTCCCTTCTGATGGAGTTTTGTACTTTGACATTGATTCTGCAAGTAAGTTGTCTATTCATCATTTATGATGATACATTCATTTTAAAATTATTTTTTAGTGCCTTTGGACATATTTTAATGTAACTAACACGTCCTTTCATAGCGATTCTTCAATAACATCAATGTTTATATTTAAATTGTTTCAGCTACTTTTTGGTTCCTAGTTTATGAACTTTCAGAAACTTGATAACAATTATTTGCTTGCTATTTCACGTATATCCATTTATGAAAATAAAATTGAAATTCTCGCAACTAATGTCAAAAAGAAGAACATCAATAAAACACTACCTTATATCGGTAGTTTTCTTGTATTTCATGGATTTGTTGTCAGATGCATAACACTATTATTGTCCTTTGGAAAGTATTGTTACATTTGAATTTCAGAACAAATTTGAATTTCAAAAAAACAAAAGAAATGTTGAAGCGATAGCAGTAAATAACGAGTCATAAACAAAAGTTTTACATAAAAGAAATTAATGTAAAATAGTACATATAGGGTGTGTAACGATCACTTTATCTAGTAACAAGCCGCCAGTTCACATAGACAAATATTCATTCAATTTTTCTATTACTTCGCCATCAATGTTGTAACAAATGAAAATTAGGTTAGAAGAGACAACAATTGCATCGGTGCTTAACTATTGGGACTAAGGTTTGATACGTATGAATATAAATTGTAATATGAAAAAAAAATTACTATATAAGCTCAACCATATAGTAAGGATTTATTCTGATTTGCGATAACTCATTTTTGAACTATGCAATACAACTGATGTTTGATTTCATGTGAGATTAACCTCAATAATTACTATTTAAGCGTTTTAACGAGTGATATATATATTTTTATTAAGCTGGACTTATCAGTGTCTCTGCCACAACAAATGTAAATTATGAAGCCGTATCATCAACCTCTTTTACTTTCACAATAACAGTATCCGACACAAAGGACTCGGCATCTCAGAACCTTACTGTCACAATAGCTAATCAAAACGAAGCTCCCGTGTTTAAAAAGACATCGTATGTACTAAGTGTTGATGAAGGTCTGGTATGTATTCAGAATATAATTTTCAACATTCGAGATAACAATGTGTACCCGATAAGTTTAACTTTTATAATAATAATATTAAGCTCTTAATCTATCTAAAATGTTTATAATGTAGCAAAATAAAACCTCTGCATTGTGTCTTTTAAAACCACGGTTCTTTTCTTTTCTCTTTTTATTGCTTTTATTGTGAACGATTGAACTAATATATCTTTCGATTCCTTAAAATAGATCTGAATAATGATTTTGGCGAAAATATGATTCGTTAATCCGGTTGCCTCATGCAATAAGAGATTAGAATCGAAACGAGAAGGACAATATTAACTACTGACATGCAGATATTTTACCGAAAAATTGTATTAAATACATATCACCTCCAAATACACAATATTGCGTGAACTAAATTAAAATTAAATAGAACGAATCTAATTAAGAAATATTTAAAGCATTCATGATCAAGTTGAGTTTTCAAGTAAAAGTTATTTAGCAAATTGTTGAACAATTCCAATATAATTTAATGTATTAAATTAGAATTGTATCTCAAATCGATCAAATTGGTAGACAAAATCATAATCCATTAATTTCTTTTTTGCTAAATATGACGAAAACAGAACATATTAATATTAGATAATATATAATAAAGTATGCTTATACGATTTGGACTTCTGAACACAAAGTAAGACAATAAATATTCTGTACAATATTTTTAACTTATATTTGATAATTTTTAATAGCAATCTTATTTTAGACTGTTTTGGCTATTTATTTTACCACTTTATTCAGTATAATTTTATTTTGATTCATTGATATATATATTCCACTTTTTTGTAAAAATTTCCACATTATTAATCCTTTTATCTAGAAAAGTTTTAACACTTAAATATTTATTTTGTGTGTTCATGTTTTATATTTTTATTAATGTCTGTGTGTATATTTCGTTTAACATGTGATGTAAAGCGCTTTGAGTAATATTATTTTAGATTTAGCGCTATAGAAAAATTGTAATAATAATAATAATACAAGAATCGACATGCTTATAATTTGTTTAAAATGAAATTTCCAATGTAAACTATTTTGAATGTCATATCCAATATGTTACTTCAATTTTTAAGGCTGGTACCGTTTTAGCTGACCCTAGTTACTTGTACCAGGATGAGGATACTGGTGACACACATAAGTTTTCTATGGTCTGTTCATCAAATGTTGGATATTTTTCGATAGCTCCAACAACAGGATTCATTAGTCTAGCTACTGATATTGACGTAGATGCTGTCGGCTCTGCCACATCTTATACATGTACAGTTAAAGTGTCTGACGGTGCTTTAACCGATAGTGCGTTTTAACCATTAATGTTAACAATATAAATGACAACACGCCAAGGTTTTCCAACAATTTGTTTACATATTACCTGGATATAAACTACGCTCTTAATACTGTTTTCGGTTCCACGATTGCAACTGATGCCGATACTGGCACATTTGGTAAGTGCCATGCATTTTGTAGAAACGATTTAGTAAATATTTGATTTGAATTTACCCGTTGTTGAATTCATAACAACATTTCAAGTATGTAACACATAGCTTATCATACGAAGTGAGATTTCAAAAGATTCATGTAAACTATCAAATTTATATAAGTATAATCTAGAGGAGTACAAAATGAGCTTTCTTACAGACTGGGCTGTCGTTTATATCTAGTTTTGAAACATACAATTATCTCGTTCGTTCTTACTTTACCATCAATCGCCATAGAAGTCAAACTGACAAATGTATTCGGGAAAAATTGTGAGGAAATACATATGCGAAAGAACTGAGGTGTTAAAACTTTTCATCTCTAATCATGCATTGCTGAAATATAGGTACACTATATAGACAGGATGAAGGATCATAAGTTTTTTTTAACTGTATAGCAATACATATGAAATTATGTTGGGTTTTTCAAATCTTAGGCAAATATATCTGAATACTGTAATTTGACAATAATGCACAATCAGCATCTGCTGAAAACATCTTTCAAGTTACAGATGAATCAGATGTATAACATTATGGAATATCTCTATAATTTTACACACTAGTGAATTAAACAAAATATGTATCCACATTGGTACAAGGGTCGCAAAGCAGTAGTAGCCGAAGGTTTATTAAGCTAGTAGAATATTATGTCACTTTTACATATTTTAATATATTTCTTAATATCTCATTAACGATACTTTAGTTGAACTAGCTCTTGGTAGAATTGGTTAAAAATTTAAATGACGGGCCCAAAAAATACTACCGTTTCAACTTAGATGAAACGTCAGTTGAGATATACAACAATTGAAATACAAAATAATACCAATGACGGAAAGATAAACAAAGTGTTTTACTAAGATAAGCTATCGTATAGTGGAATCCGTGTTTATTTCTTATAAAACATTGTAAAACTCAAATTATATACAATGTTATAAAATACCGATGATATTTGAAAGATTTGAGATTGTAAAAGAAAGGCGAAAGATACAAAAGGGATATTAAAACTCATAAGTCGAAACAGAAGCTGACAACGCCATGGTAGAACAAGTAAAGAATCTAAAGACAAATAACAGCGTACAGAATACAACATAGAAAATTAAAGACTGAGCAACACAAACCACAAGTGGTATTGTAATATTTTAAAAAAAATCAATGAAAATTCTTATTGCAAGGAATGCCTATACCCACCATTGTTTCTTTATTACTGTAAAATTCGGAATTCCATGTATTAAACAAGACTTGGTCTTAAGTGTATTAAGTTTGGTATAAGTCAATACAGTTGTAGCTTATTCATCATTATTTAGTTTACAATTCCAACTAAATTGCAAAAGTTAAAAAAAATATATAGTATACGCATATTGCTTTATTTTACAGGAAATTTCATTTATAGTATTGACCAAACGTCTTTAGGAACGGAAACATTTGGAATTGAAGCAAATGGAGATTTGTACTTAAAGAATTCTTTAACCAGTTACGGTTATGGTTCTAGTATCAGCATTACCGTTCAGGCAACAGATACCGGAAGTCTTCAAGGGACAGCAACTGTGTTCATCGTTATACCACAAACTACAACAACCACAACAACGACAACAGACCGACATATTACATTTTGGGAATATCCTGCTAATCCAGCGTGGGTTATTGTTGCGGGTATTCTAGGACTGATAATCATGGTGTTGCCTTGTTACATGTGTTACAAAAACAAATGTTCTTGCACATGGAGAGGAAGGTATGCCCATTTCGGACTGTAATTTGTTCTCTAGAGAACAGTCACACACAACCTTTATTATCTAGTAACTATAACCCTGTTCGGAAAATGGGGAATACGCTTTTATCTCGATGTACATCCGTCCGGCTGTTAGTCCGTCCCATGAAATCCGAGTTTTCTAAAATTTATCACTCATCAACTTCCTGTTGACTGAATACATATATATTCTTACAAATAATGGGCATGTATGAAATTACCGTGACATATTTCGCAAGCTGTACAATTCAGAGCTTAGGTAAATTTGGTAGCAAAAGACTAATTCAAATATTATATTAATAACAGGAAAGCCTTTAGATGAACTTAATGTGGAGTGCATTCAAACAATAAAAATATAATGGATACATAGTTTGTCACATTTAGACAAGCAATATGACCGTTATGTGGCGTAAAACAAAATTTAAAGCATAGTTGATTAAAGCAATAACTTTTAATGTTGAAAAGGGTAAGAAGATGCAAATAAAAGACAATATTATTTGTTTTATTCGAAACAATAGAAGGACGGCCATCTATGTAAATATGACGACTACGCTGAGTGAATTAATTAACTAATTAAATTTCACCTGACAAAAAAACAAACAATGCAACAGTATTGTATATTAACAATCTTTATTGTTTGTTAAAATAAATACACGGTATTGGTGGAATCCAGATGGAAGAAAGACACATTTTCACTTTTAATTCAAGGTTCCACAGTTTAAAATTTTGACGTATAAATATTTCATTTTCAGACCTGGTGACTATCATGAACGAGTTCCAGAACAATCTGAAAGTAAGTGGATACTAAATTTCTATTTCAAAGATTGTGAAAAAAGTATGAAACAAAAATAAACTTATCAAAGAAAATGTATTACCATTATTATTAACCTTTGTAAGCATTGTGCTATTTTTTTGTCTGATCAACTAAAGGATCAAACCCGTGTGTTTGGCAAAATAGTCGATCTCATACCTGTGTAACAGTTATTGGCATGCAAGTGATAGAAATATGCGTTGGCGTTGTTAGTCGTTTTAGATAATGTGTGAAAGAGGTAAATATAGAACCCACTGTTCTCGTAAGACTATCTCTATAACTACCTATATAAATTTTCTGATATCGATGTATGATTCCTATTTTATTGTGCAAGTCTACGACTCTAGATCTCAAATAGTTTACAAAGACAAAGGAATATAATGCTCAATGCATTAAAACTATTAAAGATGATAACATGTATGCAAAAAATAAAAGAGAAAAAGATAGAACTGATATGAAAATGATCAAAAATGGTACATAAAAGACTGATTTGTTGCTATCCTGTTTTGGTTAATGTGGAGAATACTAACTCTGTTTGATGGGTTTTGTTCTGAGAATTCGCTGCTTTCTATAAAATGCATGTATTTATGAACTTAAAATAAAATTAAAAAATACTGACATAAAAAGTAATATTTCAAAAAGATATTTGTCAAAGTTTTTTCCTTTGATGTTAATGAATATTTCAGTAAACCAGAGAAAAGACAGACAAGCAAACGGTTACTTTTATCCTAGTTGGAATGCTTGGAAATGGTATGAGCAGCAATGAATACAAGAAAGTAGTAGATTCAGTACCATAAAACAGAGTCTGAAATGTTAAAACATTTTTATCATTTTTTTTATCTTGAAAAAAATGTGTAATATTTAAGTTTTTCACAACAACTATACGAGTTTTCTGTTCTCATAATTTAATTTTAGATAGTGTAGTATAGTCCTCATATTTTAAATAAGTGGCATATTGTTTTCCTGTATAAAAGTTTTACTTAATTTAGAATAACTACTGTCATAATACTTGATTGCATCAACTATCATAAAAATAAAAGATTGCAAAGAAACAATTAGGTACTTGTATTACCATATCTTGACTTATACCTAGAAATTGACAATGAGGGTTGATTAGAATCTTGCAAAAAAAATAAAAGATAACTAAAGTTTTCCCAATTTGAATTATCCGTTTGATGTATAGCAACATCCTAGCTTCACCTGTATATGGAATATATATCTCCCAAAATATCCAATATTCAAGGGCTTCCGTTTCATATTAGTATTTCAGTGATTGATGATTGCTACTAACTATGAAGTTATGGAACCAGGGGTTCGTAATGGTAAAGTGGAAAATTGGCTTTCAAATGTTTATGTTTAAGCGTTCCTAATGAGAACCGCTTCGGACGCCACAATATATAAAGACTTATTGTCATTAATGAGTTTACTTTTTTCGAATAATTAATTAGTTTGACAGATTATCACGGATATGTTTCCTTTGTCCTAGCGAATTTACCGTTCTCCCTTCCCCATGTGTAATAATTACTAAGTGCGATTTATAACATAACACATGTAACATGAGTCACACGACCGGTGCCACTAGGGGTGCATAAACTGCTCATCCTTCCAGAACACCTGAGTTCACCCAAAGTTTTTTTAAAAAGGTACTTTTGTCTTTGCTTAGTTATCTGTGTAGTATTTGTGCCATCTTAGTTTTCAATATAAGTGTTGATCCTACAAGAAAAACTTTAACTATCATTTATTAACAAAGTCGTGTTTTTTTCGAGTTCAATTTTCATTTACTAATCAACTTTTTGCGAGGAAAATTGTTTTCAGACTAATTTAATACTCATTTTCATAAACATTTTTTTTCGAATGCATTCAAGTGAAATGACTTCAATTTACTTATCTATTTGTATTACGTGCGGTAATTATAGTATTGATTTACGTAAAAATCAGGATAATAAAGTTATTATTAAATCGTAAAAGACTCTCCCCAACCCCAATTAAAGGCCTAAGCAGTCATCGAAATATAAGCGACCTTTTATATTTATACAGTCTCTGTATTCATTACAATATTTTCACAATCGTATGCGATAAAAACGCTTAAAGTTAGTAGCATAAAAGACAATAACTAAAAGAAGGAAACATCTGACATTTTTGATGGATGATCAAGCAGCTTTGTCCTTTGAGATTTTGTCTATCTAATGCTGCTCGATAGAACTGAACATGCTGAATACCATTCCCAAACAAAAATGTACATATTAACGATCACTCGTTTGAAGTTTACATTTGGTTCACATTTGTTAACTAGTTTCAGCTGTGACTTTCGTTGAAATAGAAATGCACAAATGGCTCAAATAATCAAAAGCTCCGATAAATAGTAAATGTTCATTTTTATTTTTATTTATTCAAACTATTCGTATTTCTTACCTTGATATATTTTTTTTTTCTGTTTTCAGTTCCTGTCTATCTATAATTGTTTTCAAGATAATATACAAACACATAAATGGAAAATAGATCATGATTGTAGAGTAATTACTCCCATAAAAGATCAATTATTGGTAATGTCATATCTAAATTAATGTAGATCTTGACTAGCTTATCATTTTGTCTGTTTATCAAAACCGGAAAAAACACAAAATTGTTAAAAAATCGTCTTTTAAGGGCAACTACTTACACATGGACTCAGTTGATTCTTGAATTCATTTTAAATGGTTTGACGATCTTGTAATGCTGATCAATTTTCGGGTGTACTGTTTCTGTCTATGATAACTTTCAACATGATGGACAGACACGTTCAAAAGTTTTCCGACAAATCCGGTAGTTAATTGAGGTAGTACGGTGAGTAGGCGGATCAGAAGGCAAGCAGGTCGGCAGATATTTTACACACATTAGCATATATGTAAAATACATTTTGAAACAAAGTTTCTAGTTGGGTAAAGCTCCTGCTCATATTTGGTATTTAACGACAAGATCTAAGAATGAGGCTGTTTTTGTATAGTTTTCTTATCTGTTTCACTGTATCTAGACGTTTGAATCCCTTATCTCAATCTGTAAGACAAACTTTTAAAAATGTAGTTAATGATGTCCGACAGACCATTGTATTAAGAACACCTGAAATATCTTATTTATAAGATTTATACCATTTTTTTTGACTTTCTAATTTAGGGGTCAAAAACAAGTGGTCTTATCTGTATGAAACGCCACAGCTGTCTTATGTGGAACTCTGATATTACGTTATGTTGTTTTATCATTACTTGATGATATTTTTTCTTTACATAATATGGTTTTGACATTACATAATGATGTTTTGATATAACTCAATATGAAATAGTCATTATTTAATGATATTTCGATATTATACGATATGGTTTCGTATTGACTTGATATAGTTTTGTCATTACTTAATATGGTTTTGTCATTACTTGATGTGGTTTCACAATTATTTGATGTGGTTGTGTCATTAGGCAATGTGGTTTTAACATTACTTGATGTGTATGTGACTTAACGTAATGTATATATTTGTTTCATTACATGATGTGGTTTTATTATTTCGTAATGATGATTTGCCAATTCTTTATATGGTTTTAACATTACGTAATGATGTTTCAAAATTTAACGATCTTACACTACATGATGTGTTTGTTTCAGTATTCGATGTGGTCCTGTCATTCTTTGATGTGGTTATCACATTACTTGATGAGGTAAAACCACGTGACCATTTCGGAAAAAAAAATATGTTCTATTTTTAAACCGATTTCTATATGTCATTTGTTTATTTATTTAATGTGCTTTGGATGAGTATCGCTATCCATTGAGTTAAGTTCAAATTAAAGTTCGAGTTGCTGTTCAGAGTTATTTGGTATGAAAAAGGGGAACGGCAGACAAAACTAAGAAAAAAAGTACTAAAATATTAACAGTATTTCGGACTTAAGGGGAATATCCCAAAACCAGTTGCTCCTGTCGTGTTTTCCCCTAGTTCTCAAATGGAAGCAGTATTATAATAAATTCGTAAAAGATTTCACGGAACCCTGTGTTTCGCCTGATATTGCTGCTGTCAGTGTAAAAGCGTAATGTTGACTGTACATTTATCGGTACATTTATCGGTAAAAACAAAATTAAAAAAAAAAATATTTTTCTGTAGATGCTTTATCTTGATCTTGAAGAATAACTCCTATACAAGTTTTATAACAATTCATGGAGGTTACAAATTTATCATGTCAAAACAGTTTAATTCGGTAATATTTAATGCAAAAAAAACCCTTATATAAAATAAGAAAATGTGGTATGATTGCCAATGAGAAAACTCTCAACAACATACCAAGTGACGTAGAAGTTACCAACTATATATGACTGTATGGTCTTCAACAATGAGCAAAACCTATACCGCATAGTAACCTATAAACGGTTCCGAAATGAAAAATGTAAAAACAATTCAAACGAGAAACCTAACAATCTAAATGATGAAGACGCCGACGCCACTACCGACGACGGAATATATGTTTGTTGTGTCTCACTGCCGCTACATTAATGTCGCAGGCTCGACACAAATCAAAAGACTTGTACTTTATTGTCAACAAATGAGACACTTTAAATAAACTCACACTAAAGTTTCAGGGAAATGAGGGGATCGGACTAAGCGACAAAGCATCAATTCTCTAAAATAAGAATTCTCCGATTTTTTTTAGCGTGTTTGATCATTTGAACAAATACGAATACCGATATTTTATTTTTATAAATTGCATTGTCTGATATACCTCGCACTAATTGAAAAAGCAAACTTTTTGGAATATCTGTTTCACAGGTGACGACGGATATGTTCCAGTTGTCGTAACCACAATCCCGTCATCTTTTCCTCGAATGTGAACTACCAAATAAAACCAAATCACTGGGTTTTTACCTTCACGAATAACACGAAGGGTGCCACACGTTGAGCAGAATCTGCTTACCCTTCCGGAGCACCCTATATTAACCCCTATGGATTTATATTACCCATTCATACCGATCTATTGATTTAAGCTAATTGAAACTGTTTTTTTTTTTTTTACATTTTTTTCTTATGCTGTGCTGTTACACTACAGTCCGAGGTTAGGTTAGGGTTTACGCGCTCATATACATGTTAAACTCCGCCACGTGAACTTTCTTTATGTGCCTGCCCCAAGACAGGAGCCTGTAGTTCAATGGTTGTCGTTGTGTCATATGTGTCATATTTGTTTTTCGTGGAATGTTTAGTTATAAATTAGACCGTTAGTTTTCTCGTTTGAATTGTTTCACATTTTCACGTAGTTGTCTTTTGTAGCCTACTATACTGTGTGTTGAAGGCTGTACGGTTGCCTATGATTGCTTACATCCACTGCATTTAAACTCTAGTGGATAGTTGTCTCATTGGCAATCACACCACATCTAACTTTATTTCAATTTCTATGTTGTGTTTTGTATACTGTAACATTGTTTATGATTATCTATTGTACGCATACCCCTGAGCCCTCTTTTCGGAAGCACGAGCAAAAGCCATTGATCTGCGATATAAAATTTAAATACGAACTCATATTAGATAACTCGAATTTCAACTCGAAATCGTAATCTATATGAGACTCAAATTCGAGTCTTACTCAAACTCTACCTCAAAAGGTGACTCAAATTCAAAGTTGAAGTCGAATAGTAACTAGAACTCTACCTTTAAATGTGACTCAAACTCAGTCGAAGTTTAACTCGAAACTCAATGCTAACTAGAACTTTAATTCTAATAATGGCTTGAATTCTAACTCGAAATCGAAGACTAACTCAAAGTTTAACTCGAACAGTAACCCGAACTTTAATTTGAACTCTAACTCGATGGATGGCCACACTCATCCAAGGCACCTAAATTAAAACATTGAAATCTATTTAAAAATAGATCTAGTTTTTCCAAATTGGTCACGTGGTTTTACCTCATCAAATAATGTGATAACCACATCAAAGAATGACAGGACCACATCAAATACTGAAACATACACATCATGTAGTGTAAAATCGTCAAATTTTGAAACATCATTACGTAATGTTAAAGCCAAATAAAGAATTGGCAAATCATCATTACAAAATAACAAAACCACATCATGTAATGAAACAAATACATTACGTTAAGTCACATACACACAGGGTTAGGTTAAAACCACATTGCCTAATGACACAACCACATTAAATAATTGTGAAACCACATCGAGTAATGACAAAACCATATTAAGTTATGGCAAAACTATATCAAGTCAATACGAAACCATATCGTGTAATATCGAAATATCATTAAGTAATGACTATTCCATATTGAGTTATATCAAAACATCATTACGTAATGTCAAAACCATATTATGTAAAGACAAAATATCATCAAGTAATGATAAAACAACATAACGTAATATCAGAGTTCCACATAAGACAGCTGTGGCGTTCCATATATCTGCCTTCTTTTACTATATATAAGATTTTAATATTTAACATTCTATATACTTAAGTAAAGGAACTAACGAGCCATTGTATAAAACATGCCATTCTCAACGCACTCAAGCATCGACTTCATGAATATCTTTTCTTCCAAAACATTTGTTAAGAACTGAATAATTACCGCTTAAAATGTTCATTGAGTTTTATAGTAGGAAAAAAGATATTTTTCCGTTTTGAGGTACCTTTAACGTCTCTTATCTATGCATGCATTAAATGACACTTAATAAAAATCAATTATCACAGGAGCAGCAATAGTTTACATTTACTGTAAATACTAACACTTGGCTGACGAATATTTTGTATACATCATAATTAAGAAAATGTCTTGGTATTTTTATTATGGAAAGTGGACGCATTTATATTGATTAAAGTTTACAAAATGTAGTTTTTTCTTCTTTAAAAATCACAAGAACTGCTAGTATGCAATATCTTAGTTGAGGTTTGATTTAAACAGGATCGACAAATGATTATAGAAGAAAGATTGAACTTTCATCTTTTATTTTCGTTCCCCATCTTAAATGTTTAGGAACAGATGTGGCTATGAAAGACAAATTTCAATAAACCAAAGGAAATACTTTGTCAGTCTTTTTTTTCGAGAATTATAACTTATTATAAAGATTAACTAAGAAAGTATGATTTATCCTACAGGAATTAGAAAAAAAAATATATCAAAACCTTACCAATGGTTGTATTATTCTAAAACAAAGAAGCTTATGAAAATTCTTCATTATATCCTCTCTCCGAAGTCTTACACTTGTAAAAGTAAAGTAAACAAAATTACCGAACTCTAAGGAAAATTCAAAACGGAAAGTCCTATAATCGTTTGTAGATTCCGTTTATATCTAACCTCAACGAAGATTGCATATATTGTCCTCAAATGGCAAAATCAAAAGCTCAAACACACCAAACGAATGGAAAACAACTGTCATATTCCTGATTTGGTACAAGTATTTCCTTATTTAAAAAACGGTGGCTTAAGACTGGTTTTAAAGCTAGCTAAACCTCTCACTTATATGACAGTCGCATAGAATTCCACAATATTGACAACAATGTGTCAGCAAATCAAACAGACATAATAGGTAAAAATGTCAAAAATTGGGATACAGAAGTCAACATTGTGTTGTAATCTTAATCACTATACAAACAAATAACTATGTCAACAACAAAAAACACAAAATGGGATATAGACTCTCTAGTGACAAAGTACATAGGCAAAAAATGAAAGAAAAGAATACAAAAATGACGATAGCACTATCACACAACGACGGGATGTATAAATACCGAGCCAACCCAAACGTATATTTGCAAAAATGTACTAAACAGTAAAGGTTAAAATTATACAAAGAGAAATAGAAGGAACACTTTATCACGTACTTCAGATGATAAACAACGTCGGTACCTAGAATCTATACTTCAAGACCATCATGTATTATTTGTGAAGTTGATACGAATATTTATCAACAAGGTCTTAGTATCTTCCGATAAACTTTTTTCGAAAAAGGACGAGACGTTCTTTGACATAACCTTGGTTCATCAACTTTCTGCTCGGACACTTTTGACGTTTTATAAAGTCTGAGCAGTATCTGCAAGCTCTTGAATACAGAATGAGTTGGGAAATGTATATCCCATATGCACGTGAAGTTGGTAAATTGCTGCTAAGGTTGAGGGGAGGGGGGAATTTATAATTTTAAAATTTTAAAAATCGTCTCGTTTGTCATAGATCCTGATACTGAGATGACCGCTTTTATCAAATTCGAGGTATAAGTCTAACAATGAGTCGGAGGAAGCTCTGTTTGTTGTTTCTTTAATTTCTAGTTCTCGAGGATATATTACAGTAATGCAGACATAATTTTCTTAATAAACCTGCCAAACCCTTGTTATTCAGATCAGAATAAAGTAACTTCGTTAATGGCATCTAAGCAATTTAAATTGAGATAAGGGATAGCACAGATGCTGTTAGTATAGAATAAGAAAATTTGGAATAATTGACAATGAGAAATATAAAACTTAACCCAAATGACGTGGGTTTTAACCACTTCAAAAGAGAGGCGAACGATACAAAAGGGACATTCAAACTCATAAGCCGAAAATAAACTGACAAATTTACCGTACACTTGCAACAATGAGCAAACCCATACAGTATAGATCTGCTTTATAGCTCGCATTACTTACATCGAAAATATAACACTGAGTGTCAGCTGAAAACTCAACTGAATGACAAAATATTATTTGAATTTTTCGATTTTCTACTATCAATTTTAAACAGGATCTGTTTACCCTTCCGAAACACATTTGATCACCAACAAATTTTAGTGGAGAAAATTCTGTTTTCTATGTAGTGATTTGAAAACTTGTTTGTATTTTCGTCATCTTCCGTTTCTTGCCATGGCGTTGTTAGTCTACCTTGACTTTTGTCTAAATTCTGAATTTTTAAAACTGCTCCGTAAAAAAATATTTGAATTCGTTTCACGTAAAAATATTTATCATAATGATAAAAAAATCAAACTTCAGCATACCCATCCTTTAATTCGGTATGTTCATTCAAGAGAATAAAGTTCAAATGATTTTAACACTTATACATGTGTTTTATGGTCTGTCATCGTCACCATTATACATTATATACTTCGGTTTACATAAATTGAAATTGACTTTCCTTGATGACCTAATAGTTCGGGTATATCTTACTGTTTTTTGTAAATTATTTGGTAAACAAATTTTTATTACACATGTCACTATAATTGATAATTTACTAATTTACCTACTTATATTTATTCATAAGAAATTGAAAAACCAACCAGCTAGAACTATTATTACGTAAATCGAATATTAAATGTATTTGATAGAAAAAAGGTAATAAGAATCTAGACCATGGTAGAAACCGAAGTCAACACTTTATAAAAGTTGAAGTTAATAAGCGCTTGTAATAATGATCAAGAAGGAACAACAAAGAAAATTGCATTCTTAAATTTGCATATTATAAATATGCATTTTTAAGGAGTTAGTCCTTTTTTAAGAATATAATGTACTAAATTTCAATCAATCAGTTGAGCAGAACGTCATTGTACAAATGGCTGCATCATATGAACAATCTTTCTTTTTTTCTATTTGGAGGTGGGGGGTTTGATGATTGTTCAAAAAATTTAATAATTTAATTAAGAATTCTATGTATCGTGAGTTTTGAAGAAAAATGAAATATCCCATCTTTTTTCCTAAAAGATGTATCAAAACAAACATTTGCATTGCGCTACACATCAACTATAACAAACTCATGATTTTATAAATAAAATGCATCGTGGTGTCTGTTTTGTTTATTAATTAGGTCGAACATACTGCCTTTCACTGATATGCATAATTTGTTCCCAATAAAGGCAACAGTAGTATACCGCTGTTCGAAACTCATAAATCGATAGAGATAAAAACAAATCCGGGTTACAAACTAAAACTGAGGGAAACGCATCAAATATAAGAGGAGAACAACGACACAACAAAAACACAACATTAAAATGTAACACACACAGAAACGAACTATAATATAACAATGACCATTTTCCTGACTTGGTACAGGACATTTTAAGAACAAAATGGTGGGTTGAACCTGGTTTTGTGGCTAGCCAAACCTCCCGCTTTTATGGCAACATCAAACACAACACCAAAACGACAACATCACATGACAGGACCACAATACAGATAAATGGGAGAACATATAGGACAAAGAAACACACGAATAATAGCTAACAAAAGGTACTAGGCTTAAATTCAATACGCCAGACGTGCGTCTCGTCCACACAAGACCAACCAGTGACGCTCAGATGAAAAAAGTTTGAAAGCCAAAATAAGTACAAAGCTGACGAGCACCGAGGACCAAAACTTCCAACAAGTTGCGCCTAACACGGCCAGGGTTTTCTGCCTGGGACAAAACCATCCTTATTATTTAGAATAATTTATAATTTTGCAACCAGTAAATTTTATAAAATTTAAAAAAGGTCTTCCCGCGGAAATATTTTTGTTACGTGACACATAAGTTCACCTGACAACCAATTGAGTTTATTACAAAAACTAAAAACTATCACGGACTGCTACATTGTTAACAGTCAGTTAGTGAAAGCAAAAAAGAAAAAAATGGATAAAAAGTTATAAGTGATCAAAAATTAACCTCAATATCTTTCATTATTAAACGAAATGGTATTATATATTGTTAAATATACTTCGTATTGTGTAGTTTCAGGAGTATACACTATTAGATACATTTCAGAATCTACAACAATTTTGAAATAATATAAAAGCCTATTAACATAACATCCAAAGAGTGTTACTTTACAGGTAAAAGTTTAAGATTGTTGATTAATTGGAATTTTAACCAAGGTAATTCAAATTGTAACACTACAGCTTTCATGATAAGACAAATCGATAAGATTACGAAATGAAAAGTTAAGAACCAATATTCTTGGTTCTAAATATCTTCTAGGACCGTTATATATATACGATGCCATTGGATGGATTGGCTTCAACTAAATATTTAATATGCAAATGCACCAATACTAAAAAAGTAAAGATCAAAAAGTTATGTGCCATTTAAAAAAGTGTTAAAAAACAACTTTTGTTTACTGTTCTTATCTCGTTTATAACTTGGAAAATACCAAAGAACAGAAAACTTTATGGTTACGCATAAACTCATGAAGCAATACTGTGTGTGTCGAAAGGTTAAGCGTCTCTGCTATACATCTGTAACTATGCCAATTAGGGTTCTAAAATGTATCGACATGGATTAGGACACAATCCGCAAATTTACAGTCAGACGACTATTCGGGTGTCTAATGATATGAGACAAAACAAAAAATTGTAACAATACATTTTTTTAAAACATTAGTGAGGAGAAAAATGGACAACTGTAATATAAAAAAATGTTAAATCTGATGTAACTGTTTTTAGGAATTTTTGACATTGATACGACAATACCTTAAAAGCAATCAAAAACATAGATTGAAGAGATACAGATACAGTAAACAGACAAATCACAAATTATAGTTCACATAAAAGCACACAGAAAAACCAATACTGAGCATTACGAAAACCACTTCACAAATCGCTGAACTATCAATACGCATAGATGACTAGGCGGGACTTTGAAATTTGTTTCACTTCAATTGAATGATCATTCTTTACTTTCAGCGATACTCAATGTATACTATTATACTGCATCTCTTAAAAAGGGACATACCAGTGTTAAGGAGTGCTAAATATTATCAATAAAAGCTTAGTCATAAATGAATGTATACATCTATGATCGTAACAAAACGAAATAATAGCATTGAAAAAAAGCGAACTAAAGTAGCACTTAAATATAGGAAATGCAAGAGTCGTTTTATGTCACCAAAGCAAATCGTTTTCAAAGGATTTGATAATTATAAATAAAAAAAAATTGTATACCTTTTCTTCTCTATAATATGCAACATGCAATTAAAATAAAAAAGTTATTTTGACGTTAATCAAATTCTAAATAAATTTAACTAAAAAAAAAACAATACAATCTTGAATCATTACTTCATCAGATGCATTTGACAGTGGTAATATAGTTAAGGAGAGGACCACAAACAAGGGAGCATGGATAAATTAAGACGGATAATGACTGATATCATCTTATTCTTTCTTTTTTGTTTATTTGTTTATATCCAATCAACTGAAAGTAAGTTTATCATAGCAATACTCATATATTTTATTGATGAAGATACCTATCATTGTTTGTCAAAATACATTCGTGCCGTAAATCTAACATTTCCTTGTCACTTTCCTTTCATAATGTTCCTCGATAAAAATATTTTTATAGACAATTCGTGGCAATGATTAGAAATACCATATGATTAATTATAGTTCGAATCAAGATTTTTGGGGTTTTTCCGGCTGAAAACAATTCTTACATCGAAGCAATATGATTGTATTAAATGTGTCACAGATATTGTAAAATATATTAATCTGTCCATCATTTTTTTTTTGTGCGTATGCGTTTACATTTTTATAGAATAAAATAGTAAATGCATATATGCTATAAAAAAGAATATGTGCTTATTATCATATTCCTATCTCAAAGCTTCAGAGTTAATAGGTATTAACCAAATTGTCTCACTATAGTTTTATTTTTCATTCCATTGCGTAACATATACATTATTTAATATATTTTTTATTAACCACTGACTTAAAATACATGATTAATTGCACATTAATTACAATTCTACGTGTCACAGAACTGGTCACTTAAACATGTCTAGTAGATGGGGATACGACAAGGGGAAAACCTTTCACCTGCTTTGTTTTCTATATTTTTAAATGATCTTCAAACTTTTTTTGAACAGAAAAATATAACTGGCTTAAAATCTATATCACAAGATATCGAAAATGAGCTGTCAGTATTTTTGAAATTATTTCTACTTTTATATGCAGATGATACTGTTTTATTAGCAGAAAATAGCACTGATCTACAATACATGTTAAATACCTTTTACGAATATTGTGAAGAATGGAAAATGAAAATAAATACAAATAAAACTAAAGTTTTGATCTTTTCGAGTGGCAGAATGCCAGCAAACCTCAAGTTCACAGTAAATTGCAACGATATTGAAATTGTAAAGGAATATAAATATTTAGGTATTTTATTTTCTAGAAGTGGATCCTTTTTATCAAATAAAAAATATTTAAAAGAGCAAGCCACAAAAGCTATGTATAGTGTTTTAAAAAAAGGTAGACAAAACAATTTGTCAATAGAATGTCAACTTAATTTATTTGACAAAATGGTTTTACCAATACTGTTATATGGATCAAAAATATGGGGTTTTGAAAATATAGATATACTTGAACGTGTACTTTTACAATAATGTAAAATGATTTTACATTTAAAACAGTCTACTCCAAATTTCATTGTGTATGCAGAGCTTGGCAGATACCCCATTACCGTGTCTGTAAAATTGCGAATGGTTAATTTCTGGAGTAGACTTCTTAATGGAAAAGAAAGTAAAATTTGTGTTATATTATACAAACTTGTATTTTTATGTTATAATGATAACGGAATAGAAACTAAGTGGATATCATATGTTAAAAATACTTTTGATAATTGTGGTATGTCCAATATATGGAATGCACAGTTTGTTGATAAATGGGTGACAAAATGTATTGAGCAAAAACTCAAAGACCAGTTCCAACAAGAATGCTTTGCTTTTGTTGCAGACTCGCCTAAAACTATATGCTATCGTATCTTTAAAAAGAATTTTCAATTAGAAAAATATTTTTCTTCTTTGCCTTACAAATTTATTCATACATTTTGCAAATATAGATGTGGAAGTCACCACTTGCCGATTGAGTCTGGAAGGTGGCAGGGTATACCGAGAGAAGACAGAATCTGCCGTCTCTGTGACTCAAACGACATTGGTGACGAGTATCATTACATTATGAATTGTGGAACATTTAATTTGGAAAGAAAGAAATTTTTACCGAAATTCTGTTTGTCAAACCCTTTATATCTATAAATTTGATCAACTGTTTAATTCATCAAATATTGTTATATTAGAAAAACTATGTAAATTTATCAAAGTTATAAATGTGAAAGTCAGTCCTCCAAGTTAATTTTATTGTATTGTTCGCACATGCATGCAAAAATTGTACTTTATAGTTATATTTATGTATGTTCTCTATAACTATGTAATTGTAGTTTTATGAGAAATAAAGTATTCGTATTCGTAGTACACATGGTACAAGCTTAATACCGAATATTAACTGGTCGTATACAGAACTTCAACTTCTGGATAGCAAATGAAAGTTTTTATGACTCAAAATGTTAGATTTTTAACACGTTGATGTTAAAGTTGTTATTTTTTTTTATTTATTACAATATTTTTATTGAAATTTAGTTTATATAGATATATATATCACCAAATGTTTTCTTTTATTAACCAATAACTTAAAATACCGTGCATTGTACATTATTAATTGACCATGTATGATAATTCGTGCGTCGGAACTACGAATGAGAGTTTCATGAATTATAAATCAAAATACATCGACCAAAAGTTACCTGTAAAATCAAAATGTTACTAGTCTCATTTTCCTTTCTTTTATTGTTTGGAGTAGTTTCTAAGCAATTTCTGGAAAGACGTGTAGTTAATCTTAGACATACAACTCGCATTTACATGCACAATACTCTTTGATGTGTATGCCTTGCATCATTTCATTAAATTAATATTCGTTTTAGGTCAGTGCATCACAAATGCAATTATTGGTAAAGAGAAAACACGGGATGAAAGAAAAAATGATTATGATGGGGACGGAGGTAATTCTTTGAATTTGTTATTAACTAATAGAATTCCTTTACATTTTTTTTAATAGTAGGGAAAAAAGGTTATTGCTCGAGCACAAATAATTTGTTTGAAAACATAAATACATTTTGATACACTATTTGTGTCATATTGAAAAAAAGATCTTCCATATCTTAATAAGGTATTAGTTTGTGGATATAATTCCATATTATTTGCTAATACTTCTACCATTTTTTTACGAGATATTATGTACATAGATGTGGTATGAGTGCCAATGAGACAACAATGTATTTATTATTATCGTTACGTTACACATTACTTCATACACGTACTTTCTATGATAAACGTTAATAAACTTGTTTAAAGATTAAACAGTTATAAAGATTTCATAGCCCGATACGCCAACGGCGAGAGCATGTATTGTTACCGCTCTACTCCGTCCGTCATTCCGAATGGCCTTGGGTAGAAAACTTCAGTCAAAATTTACTTAACTTTATCAAAAGGGAATGATTTATATAAATATGTGCGTTTTATTCACATACATGCAATATTAAAACGTATGTCTATATAAAAAATTATGAAATGGAATAAAATAAATCAATTAAATGTATATCCTTAAAATCTATACAAACTTAACATTAAGTAAAACATGTCTACCAAAACCGCTTATAAAACAGTATAAATCATATGCAAGAATTAAAATATCATTCAATTGATCCGTATAAAATATTTATTAGGCCCTTTATCAAATATACCATCAAAAAGACAGGCTATGGCATATACGCCATGACTAACTACAAATAAAAACGAAATGTTTCTTGTCATCATTTTGGCCACTTCAAAAACAACAACTTGTAATGGGCCATGAATATTGTTTTTTGTCATTCCACAATTCCTGATACCCACTTCTTTTTTTAAATTTATTTATCAATTGCCACTTGAAATTGAAAAAAAACATTGACTCACAACAGGGTAATATAAAATGCATAAACAGCGTGTTACATGAACAGTATTTATATGGAGATAGAAATGTACGATTTTCCAGTAAATTGAATATAATATGTCATTTCTGTTTAAGATTACATCAGGAGGCAATTCTAGGTTTTATTGTACTTCTTTTTCGTTCGTTTGTATTATAGTGAACGCAGTTTTAAATTTGGACAACGAGTACAAGTTCACTTGCTGTGGTTTTATATATGAATGGGAAATATATGTCAGCAAAGATGCCACGACACCAAAAAATGTAAAAGTGCAAGTTTGGTATGATACAGGGACAACGTGGAACTTGCGAGGGGTGAATGACATAACCGCCGAAAGTAAGGTTATGCGTTTGATTCAACTCTGCCATGTTTTACTTTTAAAATCAGCTTGTATTGTATATTACGACTGACTTATGATTTGAATTGCTATTTTAATTTACTGTAAACCAACTTATTTTCTCGAGCGATTTATTTTCGCGACTTTCGCGAGTAGAAAAATAACGCGATTATAAATCGTTGCGAATATGTAAAACTTGGATCGTTCCTTCAAGGAAATTAGAAAATCGCAAAATTAAATAGCCGCGAAGTGGTCTAGAAAGGGTAAAACGCGAAATAAAGTATTCGCGAAAATAAGTTGCTTTACAGTATATAGATATTTGAACTGCTATTTCAATTTATATATATATATATATATATGAATTGCTATTTAAATTTACATATATATTTAAATTGCTATTTTAATTTTTATATATATATACATATAAATTTTAATTTTTATAAACAGCGTATATATATATATATATATATAAATTAAAATAGCAATTCAAATATATATATAAATTAAAATAACAATTTAATAGATGTGATGACGAATCTATTATGTTGCATTCTTATCACTAGAATCACTCAAATTCGTATAATATACATGTTTATTATTAATAACTTAATTATTTTATAAAGTTTAAAAACATTGGAATATATCTTTGAGTAAACAAGTAATGTTTACGTTAGAAAAAGGACCGTTTTGCTGTTTTATTGTGATACATTATAGTCTTCACATTTTAGTTTACAGACTATGATGATAATGATTGTTTGGTTATAAAAATGTAAATATTTCAATGTTCTTCAATGTTCATGTGTACAAATGTATTATTTATTTGGCTTTCTGTACCATTATGTTGCATTCTTATCACAAGAATCACTCACACAAGTACAATTTGCATGTTTATTATTAATAACTAAATAATTTTATAAAGTTTAAAAAAAACATTGGAATATATGTTTGAGTAAAAGGTTAACCTAAAGTTATGATTAAGTTAGAAAAAGGACCGTTTTGCTGTTTTATTGTGATAACTTATGGTCTTCACATTATCATTATTGAATAAGTGATTTTCTTTTGTTTATTTATGTTTCGTTGTTTAACTGAGAGTGATATTTAATATTTTAAAAGCCGCCCAATTGCCTTTATTAAAAAGATTACCAATGTACCATTGTTGCGCGCTGTATTTACATAAACATTAATTGTATGCTGCTGTAAATATAAAATATTGGGCTGGTATTGAAATATCGGTCATGTTTTTGTATATTTTGTGTAGTATATTGTCAGGGTTATTTATGAATATCATAAACTCATCATAGAAACAAGAATTAAAATTTTGCACGCCAGACGTGCGTTTTATTAACAAAAGACTCATTAGTGACGCTCGAATAAAAAAGTAAAAAATTAGTTGAAGTTGAAGAGCATTGAGGACAAAAACATTCAGTAAGCTTTTGCAAAATACAGATACTTGGAATCTAAGTATTTCCCAAATGTGTGTGATTACTGTCAGATTGTTAATTGGTTACTCCGCCAGCCTCCGTTCCAGATTTATTCTTAATCATTCTTATCTTACATCTTTGTTTCGAGTATCTCTTAAACGCATATTATCAAGACCGCTGATGAATCCATCAACTTTTTTGTGTGACAATATTTAACGGAATTAACTGTGTTATGTTGTAAACTTATATTTATTTATGTTTGCTTTATACAGATGCTGACCAAGCGAATGTAATACCAATTCCAGATGGATCTAGAATACGTGCCTTACCTGACGATTATATTGGGTTGTATGTATACTTAATGTGATGAGGTGTGAAACAAATTGTTTTTCAATATCCACCTTTTTGAACTTTTATGAACAGCAAATTAACAAGAAAATTAATGTACTTTTATATAGCATTGTAAAACCCGGATGTTAGATCTTCTCTAATAACGAAAATTAAAAAGAAATAAGCATGTAAAATAAGTGTTATGAAAAAATTATTAATAAAGCATATACATTTAATGAACATTTTAGAAGGACTCTCGAAGGTATAGTTGGTAGCGGTAAATGTTATGATGATGTAGGTCAACATTTTGATGTTCTCAAGAGATTTATATACTGAAAGTAAAATAATGCTAGAGAGCCAAATTCACAATACCGGATTTGAGTATATTATAGATGTAAAAGAGGGACGAAAGATACCAGAGGGACAGTCAAACTCGTAGATCGAAAACAAACTGACAACGTCATGGCCAAAAATAAAAAGACAAACAGACAAATAATAGTACAGATGACACAACAAAGGGTATCTAAAATTGATAAGTCTATAGCAAATGGGTTATACGATGTTTGACTATCATTTTGTGTATGTGCAGCGATGATTGCTCCAGTTTTAACACCTTGTATCGACTATTGTTTTAAATAGTTAATAGTATTTTAAGACTGCAAGAGTTTGTTAGATGCTAACTTCTACGTCATCATTTGAGAAATTCCAATGTTCATACTCTGTTCAATTCTACAGATATATTGTATATTACAACATTTATCACACATCTCATTTTAAATATTATATATGAAATTATTGCGAGCTAGTTCCCATACCTGTCGTTATAAACTGATTTATAGTTCACTAAAGTCAGAAAATGTCTTGCCAGGTTTGCTCGATACAGGTTCCAATAAGTCATAATTGCTTTAATTGAAATAATGTTTATGCATAACGATTTTGTTTTCATGAAATCGATTCGGAATCGATAAAATCGCGTCTGAATTACTTGCTTATTCTACCCGAGGCTAATTGTGGTTTTGCTATTCAGCCACACAAGTCTGATTTTGCCTCTCGTCGACTGAAATATGGTTTTGCTTCTCTTCGATTTAAATATTGTTTCGCTTCCCCTCGACTGAAATATGGATTTGCTTCCCCTCGACTAAAATATTGTTTTGCTTCCTCTCGACTGAAATATGGTTTTGCATCACCTCGACTGAAATATTGTTTTGCTTCCCCGTGACTGACATATGGTTTTGCTTCTCCATCTCCATTTTATGACTTCGTATTATTTCGAAACAGGACTTTGAAATTTTTAAGTTCATTGTGCTTTATATCCGTATTATTATTTTTTTAACAATTTACTCAATTTGTTTATATTTTAAATTGTTTACGTTTATCTTTGTCAGCAACTTTATTGTTCATATTCATAACGAATTCCAAGGTCTGTCCTGGATCATACGTTGACCTTGCTGGTACACAACTTTGATTTCAGCATCATACTATTCACCTGTAAATCATCTGTGTATGTTTAAGAGAGAAGCGAAATATAACAAAGGGACATTCAAACTCATAAGTCGAAATTTAACTGACAACGCCATGGCAATTAAAGAAAAAGACCCAACAGACAATAAACAGTATACAAAATACAACATAGAAAACTAAAGACTGAGCAACATGTTTACTTATAAACAGATATCAGATCAATAATAAAAAGTAAACAAGTGATGATTAATTTGATTGGTGTCTTTAAATTTTTAAATGTGTAAAGTAATATGGTACAATACAATAGATAGTCAACATACAGGCATGTTGTTATTGCTTTAATTGGAAGGCTGTGAGACTGTTTATACTTGTATAAACTCCATCAAGTACGTACATTTAGTTAGATACAAAAATTAGCATAGAAACCTAATTGGTAACTTTGTTTTAAATATATACCAACAATTATTAAATTAATAGTGAGAGTTCGTATAGGATATTAACATACATCAAGAAAAAAATGTTGATTTAAAAAGAAAATATTTTATAAGGAATTGTTTTCTGAAAATTTAAGAAACAAAACGTATTAAATAAAATTATCGCTCTTTATCCTAATTTTTTACGAAACATACGAAAAGCATATTTTTTGTGTTTTGTTTTCCAAAGAAATAAACATAGGAATATATAGATGTAATAAAGATTTTAACATACATTTGTTTTTCTTTATTTTGTTATTTGTTAGCTTTGAATATGATGGGTTTGTTATCACATACGATAATGGAGATGACTACAGAACAGCTACATTTGCTACAGACGAGACAACGTTTGACTGGAATACAGCAACTAGTGGTAACAAAAGAGACCATGCCATTCACGCAAGAGTAACTCCAAGTACATTAAATTTATAACGCCACTGTAGATTAGGATTTATCAAAGTTTGTTTCAAATTGTCACTTAAAGGACACTACTTTTTATTGTTAAAATTAATCAACTCCATCTCCAATTCTCAGTAGGTTTGTATTCCCTGAAAAGTCGTTTTTTTTTCAAAATCAACGTGTGGTTTATTCGATATAATTTTTTCATTGGTAAAAATTCAAGTTTGACGTCAACTGTTCTTTATTTCTACTGATTTCGCTATTGAGACACAAAAAACGGCCATACCTGATGACATCTCGTATAAAGAATATGAGAGGAGAAATACCGTAACACACTTGATGCAGTAGTGGGATTCATACTAAGCATAAAACAAAGACTGGGTGCTAATTGTTCATATCGCTTTATCATATTTAGCGAAAAAAAATCATCAAACAATAAGCTAATGGAATAACTTTAAAAACATAAGATACTCATACCTGCCCAAATATGACAAAACCTTGTAAAAGATGTTATATTTATGTTGTCAGTTAAAGGGTCAAAATTTTCACAGAAACCAAGTTTAGTATATCTAATTGTTGACTTCGGTATGTTTTGAAATATCTATATTTCAATGTTTTGAAATATCTTTATTTCAGTGTTTTGGAAATATCTTTATTTCAAACAACATATGTAAGGCGGTGAAATAACCACGAATAATTTTTCTGCATCAGAATACTTATACAGTGAATATCGTGAAAAATCAATAATTTAACACAATTGCGGATAAAATTTGCTTTACAAGTTTAACAATAACCTTTAATTACATGTAACTACAAATAAACCACTTTGTTTGGGAAAACGTGTTTTTATTTTTAACCATATATAATATTTTGAAGTACTAACACACAAAAAATATTTTTTGTTAATAAATGTTTTTGTATACTCAATTGTATGCAAAGATAGAAAATATGAAATACATTATACATGCTTATTGCTAGCATGATTCAGATGTGCATTTTCAGATTAAAGGGCAAGCAACAAGTTATGTGTATATTTTTAAGCAACGTTAAAAGATCTTCTTCTGGATGTTAGAATTTTCACAAATGTATGCATACTATAGCCGACCATCTGTTTATGAAACCACATCGAAACTCCTCTACTATTGAAAACATTCAGATGCAAATCTAGATATACCTACTCACAATATACAGGAGTTGCTAAAACTTCCCGAATACCTGAGATCACTATTGGTTCAAGTAGTGTCTTGTAGCCTGTTGTTTGTCTTGTGGTCGTTTTTTTATTTATTGTCCCTTTGGTATCTCCCGGCTCTTATTAACCAATGACATGACAAAAGTTTATAAGACTTCCGAATTCTTAACGATTTAATGGTGTTGACATGACACTATTCTCTATACAGTATACTATCCTTACATACTCATGTTTTTTTGTTTATTTTTAATTTTGTGTTTTGCTCTATCATTGGCTTATTTTCCTTTAGGTCAAATACCAATGTTCACTAACCTGGACGACACTGTTGCAATAAGTAACAATGAAGTAGCCGGAACTGTTCTGTTTACTCTCGCTATGATTGACAGTGATATTGAAGATGCAGGACTATTGACTGTAAAACATACAGCGAGCACTGGATCTGCTGCAGAGTTCTTTGAACTTGACCTTAATACTTGTAAGGCTTTAATTTCATTATAAAATCTATTATTGACCATTCATTCAATATATGCAGTTTCTTTTAGATATGTGATGATCAAAGCAAAACGGTTAATTAACTTATATGTATTGGTAATTTTCTGTAATTGAACTTAAAATAACATGTTAAAGTCGATACTTTAAGTCATAAATTGTTAAAACCAGATTTTACAAACCAGAAAAGGATATCTACAAGTGACTTATCTTCAAAATTTAAAAAAAAACACTATACTCTAGGCAAACTGTATTTTTAAAAGACATCACAATGAGACACCATAAGGAAAAAAACAACGAATTTTTTATACATGTTTGGGTTTAATATATGTCGAATATAATATTGAGGAACACGTATAAAAGTCGTTGATCTATCGCAATTGAATTGTCTGAGCATTCGGGAAACATTTTTTTTTCAAAATTAAGTATAACTTTGTTCTCTTCGTTTTTTTTTATATAATAAACAGTGGAAGTTAAAATTAAGTCTGGTGTGTCTCTTTCTCCTGGAGATCATTCGATGACATTTACTGTAGCTGATCCATGTTCACAATCGTCGTCCAGCATTTTGACGATACGGGTTGAGAATGATGTAAGTACAAACGTATCGTTTACTGCATTTGGACAATAATTAACCAAATGATTATCTAAAGATATCAGGATGTTTTGAACGCAAAAGTAATGAAACACCTTTATCTAGTTTTCTAAGGGATTTATACAGTTAACAGTTTTTTTTTACTATTTTTGGTTTCCTGGGAACATAAACGTTTCGTCCGAAAGCAAATACTTATTTCTCGAACAGATATTGAATAAGAGGCTTAAATTTCAAAAAAAAATTGTACAAACAGCTTCTAATTTTGGAACAAAGAATTAATATTGGTGGTACAACAATTCATAAAATAGAAACATACCATAAAAGACAAAAACAAAAAGGTCCATAAGGGAACTGTCTGGTTAAGAAACATATTCTCGTAAAATATCTGCTGCCAAAATAATTATTAGCTACTTTTTTTCCTGATAAAAATTTTGTTTTATTGTTCTATTTCGACTAATTTCTTTTTGAATATTTTTGTAAACAAATTTACTTTATACATGTACAAACTGCCTTTTTACTTATATAATACATATAAAGTGTAAAGTAGAAATTGGGTGAAGATAATTTTGAGATTCTGATGGAGGCACGAAATAGGAATAAATATGGGTTAAAACGTGAAGATAGTTCTCCTGTGTAGCTAAACATGACTTGTCTCTTAAGAGTAAAGAAAGAATAAAGCCTAATTTGTCGTTTGACTGAAATCACACTGTTGTTCGATATTGCATACAAATGTAGCTCAATGGAGAGAGAGAGATATGGTGGTAGCATGCAAGAACTCGCTATAATATCATGTAACATTTAATGTTGTAGCCACCAGTTATTACAAGCTTGGCTACTAGTAGTTCAACCACTATATCTGAGGACTTAGCATCAGAGACCCTACTTCATACTCTTATCGTCTCGGACACACAACCTACTACTTGTAAACTTGTTTCTACTGGAGTTCCATTTGAAATCAAACGTATTTCTGGGAGTACAGGTACGTTGTATCATCATACGTTTTCAGGAAGACCCAAAACAATCTATTACTTAACATAAGAACTCAATGACACTTTAAAAGTGTTTCCCTTACTTCATTTGTCATCTATGAAAACCCTTTATTGTAAATGAAGCACAAAGAACGATGTATATGAGTTTTGATTTGTCTCGCCATTATGTACGTATATGTCTAGCGTTTACACATGCAATTGTTTTTAATATGGATTTTGCACTGTTTTATCACCCTTTGTTATGGTGAGATTATACTGAATTCAGAGCGATGTATTGTCATTTGTTGAACTAAATTAGTTGTTCTAAAGATTTCGATTCGGTTATTTTGCGTTGCAAGAATTTTGTACCATTGACGTTTAAGCCAAATTTTTCTTCATTCATTTCACCCGTCCAGTTGTTAATGCTACCGTACCCGTCAAAGTTGATTATGGTTGATTATATTCCTTTATGTGGTCATTTGACTTTCTTCACAATTAGAGGCAATTTAGATCATATTTGGGAAGATCATATCATTTCAATGTGCATCTTAATCTTCATGTTTGCACCTATAACCTGTGTTTGATGTTCTTATTGTATTAATATTTGCTTTGTTTGTTTGTTGGGTACTTTTTCTGTGTGTTTGTTTTGTGTTGTGTTCTTTTTTTCTGTAAGTGTGACTAAATTATGTTTTGTAACTCCTGATTTATTAGATTCCCTGTATTTTTCCCTACTTTTAATGTAATTCAGATTATGGAATATTCTTATCGACCGGTGCATCCTTAGATTATGACGCACGGAATGCATTTGTCTTAGACTTATCTTGCACTGATACTTATGATGACACAGCGGGTATTTATACAGTCTATCTTATTCGAAACGAGGTGAGTGTTTGTTTGTCAAATGAATTTGTTCATATATATTTTTTATTTTTTTTATGCAAAGACAATATATTTTTTTAAATGTCTACAGCTTTTAGAAAGAAGGATGTGAACAAGCTATCTTCATATCTTTCCAAACGAGTCATTCGTCGATAATCTGCTTTATTTACAACCTTTTAGGGAAAAAGTTGACATGACCTAGGTAGTTGAATATATAATCAAATAGATGAATATGTATCACGGTAGTAAACTTGACATTTGATAAATTACTTCCTAATCTATTACTACTTTAGTATATGTTTTACATTACACATTTCATGGGTTAAGACATAAATTTTTGGAAATAAATAATGTTTTTAAATGATCACGAAATTCTGAAGAAAGAAATGAAGGAAACGCTTTGTTTGAATATCAACTCGATTTAATTTCAACTGAGGATTTATCGAGTATTTTACTATTGTAATTAATTAACGACAATTGTTCTCGTCTTGAAAATGTATGAACTTTTTGTCACTGGACTTAAAGCAAACAATCACATGAATAAATAATAATTAAATATTGTAAGCCTCCTTCAATTAACGGACTTCCAAGAGCTACAGATATACAAGAGGACGTGGTAGTAGAGACAACACTTTACACATTTTCCGTGACGGACCCGGAAAACACTGCCGTTACATGTTCTGTCACAGCAATTACTCCAAATACAAATATTATATTTATGAAGCCATCCACAAACCCTAATGGTGAGTAGCATTTCCTAAAACTAAATGCATATGGTATTTGTGAAAACGAAAATCAATATTAAAAAGCTTCGCTCCTTTTTTATGAGGATTTTTTCCTCTTTCAAATAGTAAAAGAGATCTTCGTAGTTTTTACTGTTACAAATTTCAATTTTTTATTTGAAATAATGTTAATAATTCGCTTTTTACATATAATGTAGATTATTACGTCGATTGTATGTGTTTGTATATTGAGTATGGACACATCGTGTACAGCAAAGTATCATACAAATGATTCATTTCCGTGACAAGATAAATACACATGGTCTTTATTTGTACAAAGTAGAAATATATATACTTGTGCAATACCTTTTTTTTGCAGAATTTGATATAATTTTGCAATCAAACCCTAGCCTTCAATACGATCTTATAAGAACGTACAGAATCGATATTCAGTGTAATGATGGTCGACGCCCCGATTCCAGTGTCTTCTTTATGAACGTCTTACGTAACAAGCCACCTGTATTTTTAAACCTTCAAAGTAAGTTTTTAAGCAATTCAGAAGTTATTTTTTGAAGTCACGTGAAAATAAGTATATCCATATATAAATCTATATCAAAAGACGCAAAAAATTGTACTTACAATACAATCAATATTTATCACCATGACAATGAAATGATTTTATAGTGAAGTACTTTGAAACTTTGGAATTGAAAATTGATTTAAAAAAAAACTTATACGAAGCTTTGTACGAGAACATAGTTCACAAACAGTATAGTTCCTGTTCTTTGAAACAACAGTACCGTAGAAAAGGAAAGTACCAAGTCAGAAATATGACAGTTGTTGTTCCGTTGGTTGTTAACGATTGATTTTTCAGTTTTTATAGATTTTCCCTTTTGAATTTCCATAGAGTCCGGTATTTTTACTATACTTTTTTAATGTGTTGATTTTTGAAACGTTGATAATACAAGAGTTAATGTAAATAACGCTGATGTAAAAACAAATCAAGTTTCTAGAATTTTAACTGCAAATAAACGAGGTTTGTGAAAGCGACATATATCCACTACAAAGCCGAATACTCAAGATAAATGCTTAACGAATGCCAATGAAATTTTATGACATCTTATTGACTCACATGTATATTTTTAGATGTAACCTCAGTGTCGAGTGTTGCAACTCATATTGGACAAATTGTCTTCGACGTTGATATTACTGACCCAGAAAATGACCAGGTGGAGTTCTCCATGTTTTGTGTACCATCAGCCAACTGTCCATTTGAAATATATCACTGTATGATTTTTATAATTGAATAAGTTGAATTTAAATCTTTGAATTTTATTTAATCGGAATCATATTTGATAAATATTACGTGATACACTGCAATAATCCAAATTGCAATTTTAAAAAAAAATCTGCATATAATCGCAAAATCTTTATGCTAGCAACATCAATAATGTCAATGAAATTAACCGTAAATTAAATCAGGCGACAGTTGCTTTGTACGCGTGTCAAGAGTTTCTATCCACATTGTAGTTTCTTTAACAGAATTTAGCTAAGTTATCCTTCAAGCAAAACTCATGTGAGCAAATAATGTTAACCAGTATGGCTCTTCTTATACAATTATATATCATTATCTTAAGTATAAATTCATCCTAATAAAAAAACTAATTTTCATTTCTATTCTTTCAATATTTTATAGCTGGTGAAATAGTACTCAAGCGGTCAATAGAAGGTGAATTTATACCAGCCTATGATGTATACGTTTATGTAACTGACGGAAAGTCGACAACGGGACCCAGATCATTAACAGTCCATGTCCTAGGTAAATAGTTCACAATACAATATAATGTCCATACTTATTAGGGTTTTAGCAACACTGTAACCGCGAAGACTTAACGATTTTTTTTCTGTAGGGAAAATAGGTTTCTCGAGTAAAAATTTCAAATATTTATGATTACAATTGTCTCTATTACATTTTGAACATATATACATTGTAAGTGTACTGCATAACCACCTAGTCTTGATATATAAACGTCCAACTACATGACAACTTTTCAACAGACGTTGACGTTTTCCATTGGGTAACCTAGTGTAACCGTTCGTCTATGACAGCACACAGTTAGACCACCTGAAATCTGTCACACATCTTATGTAAAAGCATTTACAAGTGGGAGGTTTAGCGCAACGTAAAACTTAGTGCATACACAGATCTCGTTCTGAAAAGCCTGTATGAAATTATGTCTAGAACGACCAATTGTTCAAATATAGACATTTTCCTGAAGGAGCAAAATTGGCAACATTTGACTTGTTGGTAGATCTTGGCTTGCTGATCATTTTTGTGATTTAAAGTGTCTATTCTTCTATTATAATTTTTATCATATAAGGCAAAACGCAAAAAATAAATGGTAAAAATCGGCATTAAAGGGCAATAACTCCATAAGGAGTTTAAAATAAATATCACAATGATCATTATGGCCAATTGCAAGTTTGGTTAAATTTGGTCTAGTAGCTTCAGAGGAGAAATTTTTTAAAGTTAACGGATGACGACGGACGACGGACGCCAGGTGATGATAGAAGATCACTAAGCCCTTTGGGATTTGTTAAGATGGGCAATGACACAACTTTACACCAGAAACCAAATTAAATAGTGTAAGAAACTATATCATGTATATATAGGTCACCGTAGTGTAAGGTATAAATGGTAAGATATGAAAAAAAGTAAAACAATTCAACGGAGAAAACCAACTGATGGATGTGTACTGCAACAATGAAAACAAAAAACATATATAACTGAAACAACCAACCACAACCACTGAATTACAGGCTCCTGACTTTGGACAGGTATATACTTAATTTGGTAGAATTAAACACAATGCGAACGCTCAACCTTTCCATAACCCGGGACAATGGTGCAACAGCATATCATAAGCACAAACTGTAAAAACCAGATGGAAAGGATTTAACTTATCCGATCGGAACGAAGCACAAACAGTCCTCTAACAAGAAGATAAAAAGACAAAAAACTCAATTTGCGGTTTTAAAAGAACTCGCATCTAAAAAATAAACTATGTTTTCGAGATCAAAATAGCAATCAGTAAAAATCCAAAAGATGTTATAAACAGCCTGATAATAGCATGATCGTGTGCAATCCTAAACAAGTATCGACATTATGCAGAACCATAATTGTACATAGCTGAATGGATGGTACTGCTTGTGCATCCTTCGCATTTGTGAACATGAGAATTAACACTTGATCAACCAGATCGTGGAAAGGCATAGGATTTTCATTAGTTTTGTATCAGTTTCTTTTCGTGCAGGATAAGACAGCGATTAACTATCAGTAACAAATTAATTTATTTTCTATCGAACATAATTCATAAAAAGTGTAAATAGGTAATTGTTGCATATAAGATAATGCAAGAGTGTGGTTTATATTTAAGAAAAATACAGGAGTTGTACCAAACAACAAAAAACATCAACGGACACACATAAATAGTACTAAATCTAGGATATCTAACATTTTACTGGAATACAACAATCTTGTCGAGATTAGTTTAATATATTCTAAGTCTACTTTACTGCTCGAACTTTATTGTTCATACACAACTAAACATTTCTAAATTTTAGGTCTTATATATAGCGTAACATTACATTTGTTTGTCTGTACATTTCATATTTCAGATATAAACTACGTCCCTGTTATAAGGAATCTACCCCTACCGTCTGCATTAGTGGTGTCCGAAAATTCCGCTCTAGGTTTGAGTATTTTCCAAGTATCTATACAAGACAATGATGGTGCAGATACACACACATACACAATGACGTCATTCCCTTCTGATGGGGTTTTGTACTTCGATATCAATCCTGCAAGTAAGTGCTGACAATACTGTGTTGTGCTATTTGAGTTTCCCGGAGAAGCGATATTACTTTAAAACACTTACCATTCATGGATAATGCATCACTGTACTCACAGAAAAATTGAGTAAAAGTTTAAAACTGGTGCATAAAGAGATGTGCATTGCATTTCGTCATTGGCAAATGACCCTTTAGTAAGAATAAACAAGTTTTAATAATAATCTACATGCTTTTTGTTAGGCAGTACATGACTAAGCCGACAAGTTAATCGGTGAACTTTAGACGCAGTTACAGCTATGTTCATATTCGAAACACGTATTATGGCATTTAAAAACTTCTTAAAATTCTAGTGTTTTATATAAGGGGACGGAAGTCAATTACACTAGTAGCAAGATTTCAGTCTGAAACGGTCATTTTGGTCTGATCAAGTCTGAATCGACTGAATTGACCGCTAGGGAAAAACGTTAAGACTTTTTAAGACTGTCAGACGCTGTTCAGATATGTCGTGTTCAGTCCTTCATTCATGTCAAGATAAACAAGACAGAAGGCTCTAGCTGTTAAACAAGATATGTTAAGACGGTTTTAGACGAATTCAGACCAAACATAAAAAGTAATGTTCAAAATTTTCAGATTGGGTTAAGATCCGTTTAGTGTGACAGAATTATATTAGGAGTTACGTCCCTTCATGTGGATGATACATTTTAATTACAAAAAATGTACAATATAAATGCTAGAATGAAAAACGTATTTTTAATAATTAAACATAAAATCATTGGTTGACTTTTGATTTCTGTTGGTCTTTTTTTAAGAGATTAGTGATTTTGTTTTGTTGAGGAAATAAATCATTCGCCTATAACTGTTTATGATTTTATTTTATTTTTTTATTTTCTGATGTTAATTTATGTATTTCTCTACTTATTCTTTGAAAAGAAGTAATTGCAAATTTTAAACATAACATTAACAAAAGAGTGAAAACACCTTACAAATTTCATGCGTCTGAAGCACGTTTCTGGATTTAACTTCGTCGGGAACGATCAACGTAAATACAAATATGTTTTATGTCAGATAATTTATATCGTTAATTTCGTTATCTTTCGATACTTTCCTCTAAAACTTAATAATTACTTCGTGGCATTTAGTAATTATTCCCCGTGCGAGTTATTCTTTTTATATTTGGAAACCGTCTTTTTTTCCTTTTATTTCGTAGTGATGCGTAGTCACCAAGGCCGCATCTCCGAGTGCACTTATATTCTGAAAACTGTACTTAGACCGTGACGAGACAATAAAACTATAAATAACATACCATCGGAAAGAAGAAGATGTTGATGGGGGGTTTACAGAATAGAGAATGATGGGCAATACATATAAAGAATAGAGAAAATGGATAAAAAAAAAAAAGAACAGAGAATAATAAGGTGCTTGAATATAAAGAATAGATAATAATAGACAAAAAGTTTAAAGAATAGAGAAATAGAAATAAAGGACCCCCTCCAGATCCTAATAAAACTTTTCGTTAAAACAATGTAACCTAATTTAAGTTCAGCATCGAGTATATATCCTTGTAAATGCGTTAATCCTTTCTTTCATTTTAATAACAATTTTATTTAATATAAAATAATTATGTATTTATTTGTTTATTCAAGTTGCACTATAACAAATAATTCTTCTTCTTCTTCCTCTAATAGTAATAAATGTATTCGTTATTTAATATTTTCTGTCAATAATGATTGAGTTCGATGGCACGTGCCAATAATCAACAGGTTATACAATCCATGATCCTTAAACTATTAAAAACTTGGCAATTACAATGGCTATTTCACAATTACATCATATGCACACCTGGCATGGTATCATAGCTCTGATCATGTATGTGTAGTTTAATGTTCTAAAAAAATTTATAATAGCTTCTTTCTAAACACTATTGACGATATTGTTAAAACTGCACGAACATATCACAAAACCGCAAATTTAGTGGTTAAAAAAAATATACGATAATGACAAAAAAATAATTAAAAACTAAAAACAAAACAAAATTCTGTAGGAAGTAGCATATATTTACATATATGGCACTCATATCACATCTTCTTATATCTATATATAAATTGTCTAGTGCTTTTATTACAGCGGTATATATATATATAAATTGTCTAGTGCTTTTATTACAGCGGTATACTTGTTTTATACACAGACCATATTCTGATCATATTCTATGCTAAGATATTGACAAGACAGAAATAAATATGTTTAAAATCGTTTTAAATCAATTCATTTCACAGCTGAGGCAAATGTTCCTTCCCAATGTTGAATGGAGGTTAAATAAAGGTGAACAATAAAAAAGATGTATATTTCTTAGGCATGGAGCTAGGCATTTCTGAAGTATCTTTGATAGCATGTTTTTTTTTTCTATCAAAAATGTATGCTGGTATATTTGTAACTCTAGGTGTTTACCTAAAATGTATTGCATATGTAAAAGTTTTAGATTTTTTTTTTAATATTTGCGAAAAAAACATTATCCGGAAAACCATATAATGGCGTTTTGTCCTATAATTCTTTTTTTTTGTGACTTTCTAACCTACCTTCTTATTGATACGTTAATCCAAACAGTGCAAGTGTGTAATGCAAACATACAAAATTCGGCTTTGGTGTATCATGTTAAAAAAATACCCATAAATTATGATAATTTCAATAATTTTAGATAAGATTATGCAAGGAAATGTGTTTTTGTTTTCTATTTATCTAGCAATATTGTATCTTTTTTTACACAAAGATGTCGATAAATAAATTGGATACCCTGCATTTATCATGCATTTCAATAGCAATTGTCAAATTGTTAAAAGATCTCCTCCTTAACAGGGAATCCATTAGTGTAAACAATATTTTATTTAGAAACAGATAAATAAATACGTACATCAATACAATACACGGATTGGAAAACAAGTGACAAGTCACTTATACAAATTCCTCTCCTTTTGAACGGCAAAATTAATTACAATGGACAGAAAATGTACAATCATATAACATAATATCATAAAAAAAGAAATCAAATGCAATGGAAATTAACATATAATGCAGATAGTATTTTTTTAAGGGAATCCGTTAGTATTGAAAGTCCCTGTCCTAAATTATTGAATTTGTCATTCTGCATTGACAATATTCAATTTATCTTGGTGTAAGTAATACGCACTCATTCGGGCTAACGCCCTTAATGTGTATCTAATACATATTATTTTCTCCCTCGTTTCACCCTTCCGATGATAAAGTTTTTTCTTAACTAGATATCGTAGAAAAAACCAAACACAGTATAGGGTTGTGCGTTCGCTACAAGATCGCCTTAAATTTAATATGTTCAACATAAATATATACAATCAGCCATACAAAAAGGCATATTTTTTTACCATACACAAGTCGAAAAGAAACGATAATGTTACATACATAAGATGGGTAAATGGGGTGGGAGGGGAAAAGTATACCAAACTAATTCCTAGTCCTTACTATCTTGTAACGAACGTCGCATTGTCAACACCTTAAATTTTCCTTATATACTGACTGCCGAAATCGCCCGTGCAGAAAGGAATTCAATGGTGTATTACCCTATCTCATTTAAATATAGAAAGACCGTTATATATAAAACATAGGACCGTAAAGAAATGCAATTATTGTATTTCATATAACTATAATATATGTCCTTGAATGATATAACCAGAGACATATGTACAATATTGTATTATATGTCTCTGATATAACTTACCAGATAGGTTGTTACTTTCGTTTCCGGTACACTAACACTAATAAGCTGTGATTTCTTGTTTATCATAAGTTTCAAAATTTGTGTCAACTAATTCTGCCTCTTTAATGGTCAAATGAAAGTAAGTCATTTTCACTCTACCATGGAATGAAATGAACGAGAGAACTTTTGACGTGGTATAGTTATAATATAACTGTACTTTATACTTATAATTATAGTTTGTACTGCAAGCCGAAAAATCCACTTTGCCCTCTGAATGTCTTTTGGTTTTTTTTTTTTTTTTGTGGTTTATTTGCTATATTATTGACGTAAATAAAACCGACAACTCCTTTTATTCATATATATAATTTGAGTTCTGTAAATTTCTAGACGTACGTAATAATGAAAGACGAAAATGCAGGTTTCATAAATGGCCATCAAAGAGCGACACAATTAAAAACAAATAAAAATATAGTTATTACAGCTACAGTAATTTTTTTTCTCTATTAAAACATATTTGATACTTTTTGCGCTATTGTCATATATCGAAAATTTAAAAAAATCTAACATTTCCATAAGCTTTCTGTGATTTCCCCGATTCACCATTATGATGTCATGCCACTTGCTATATGGATTCAGAAAACAAATTTACGAAATCTATGACCACACAATTGTTACTGTTCCTAATTTTATTAACAAAATTTAGCGTAAATATTTACAACTATAAAAATGAGTGCCCGGAAAACAATGCGGACTAAATCTGTGTACAGTGCACGTGGCGGATCCAGTCATTTTAAAGAGGGGTTCCCAACCAAGGATAAAGGGAGGGGATCCAACCGTATGTCCTTATTAACAAAAGGGGGGTCCAAAATCCCCACCACCAAATCCGCCACTGTGTGTACCACTGACTTTAAATTTTACAAATATGCAAATCGACACTTGTTCTGTTTGGACAGTTTTCAATTTTAAATAATAGAAGTAGGTGAATTATACAGCAGACATATTGGTTTTCTTGGTTTAGATAGAGGAATTATCTACCCCCGATCAAGAATCTCATTAAATTGTACGGATGTGCAATACGTATTAGTCTAAAATATAATCTTTAATCTTATCAAATTTGAATCTCATGATTTTTGTAAATAGGCGGAATTAAATTTCCAAAGTGATATTCAAACTTATTATTCAAAGACAAACTGACAACGCCATGGCAAAATAAAAAAAAAAGTCAAAATGACAAACTGTACATATATGCTAACTTAGAATATATAGTTAACACACTTCATGACTTCAT